GCAGAGCATGAGACACTGAAAAGTCCTTGACTTAAGGGAAGCACTGCTCAGGAACAAACAGTGTGTCACAGCTGAAACCAGGACAGTAGGCACACCTTATTCCATATAATTTATGTCATGCCAGGTCCCACACTTCCCAATGCCCCATCACTTACCTCCCTTTGGATTTATATACACAAACAGATAATTTTTCCATAGTCTATGGACAATCCCTGTAAAAGTCCATTGATTTCATTTAGTGTGTGACCTTGGGCTCCATCTGTCAGAACGGTGTTTCAGGCAGGAAATGTGGTGTGTGGTGGTGGGACTCAGTCACAGTCCATTCTCCATCAGTGTGGTGATGGGAAATGGTGATGACCAAAAGGCGAGTCAGGTTCAGATCCCCAAATTCAGCCTGTCACAGACGGGCACTGTGAGGCACCCAGTGTGGTGATGGGCATGTAGCCACCATAGAAGGGGTAATTCATGGTGTTACACAGTAATTAACATCATACAGTGTAATTCATGGCTTTGAGACACACACTGGACTTTTCCATTCTCTTGGATAATCCACCAAGGGCACCAAGTTTAGGTTGGGCAGGGCCAGCCTGACTGGCAGATCAGACCTCTGAGTGTTGAATAACCAGATAGCCTTTGCTAAATATGGATCCCAATGTGTGAAGGGCCACCATTCATTGCTCTCAGTGTGGTCTCTAACCATCCACTGCATCCTTTGACCTTTCCAGAGCCTGGTGTATGCTAGGGAATGTGATATTTCCACTCACTGCCATGCTCTTTGGCCCCAGTGTCTGGGGTTGTTTTGGAAATGAGCCCCATTGTCTGACTTGATTCTTTCTGGGGTGTTGTGTCTCCATAAGGCTTGTGTTCCAAGGCCCAGGATGATGTCCTGGGCAGTGTCCTGGAGCACAGAGGCTGTTTCCAGCCACTGTTTCCAGTGGTTGCTCCCACCACTATGAGCATATGGCACTTCCCTTGGTGGATTTGGGGGAGTGTGACATGATCACACTGCCCAGCCTCCCCATATTTACATTTCAGTCATCACCCACCATACCAGAGAGGCTTTAACCACTTGGCTTAATCACACCATGTGTTTCACATCCATGGATAACCTGTGCAGTAGTGTCCAAGGTGAAGTTCACCCCTCCTAAGCTCACCCAAATATTTCATCAGTGTAAGAGTAGCATATGTTCCTTAGGGAATTAAATACAAGCAAGGCAAGATAGTAAGTTATTCTGCAGGTCTGCCCTCTTCTTCAGCACCCTTCTCTCAATTTCACCCTTCAGTTCCTGCCCTTGGAACAGGGCAGATTCTTACAGGATGTTCTGGGACTGAAAGTGCGGTACAAGGCTTCTGTAAAAACACAGAAATACTGCAACTTTTGGGCTCAATGCTATGACTTAAAAGAAAAAAAAAATTGAGAGAAAAACTGGGTGATAATGGACACCTTTTTATTTCACCTGCCTTGCTTTTGACAGTTTTCTGTGAGCATTGCTTGTGCTACATCATTACTAAAAAAACAGTGGCCCGTGGTTTCCTGTAGGTGGCAATATTAACAAAGGTATGCATCAATGAGTGGGATTTACTCTCCATCAAGACAGGAGGAATATGGATTTTGAACTAGTGTCCCTTCAGAAGATACTAGTCTAGTTATTTAAAAGTATACACTTGTTATTTCCCTACACAGTTTTCTGGATACCTAGACAAAGATTAAACATTTGAAATGGACATGTGAGCTCAGAATCCTTATAACATTCCAAGTAGGAACTGAGTAGCCTGCACTGGAGTGCTATTTCCTATGAAACAGCATCTGTGTCTCTTTCTGTATCAAGGGTTGGGGTTTCTTTTAGGTGCAGTTTGTTTGTTTTTCAGATATGTCTGATTGAAATCTTTAAAGAATTCTTCTCCTGCAAAGACGCAGTAACTCAAAATATAATGTTTTGTGGAATTCCATAGCCTCAGCAAAGGCATCAACTACATGCCAATTCAAAGATGTTCATCTTCAATTATGTTTCCTTGACCAGATCATGAGTTCATGTGGTCATCTGAGGATTTTTTGCTCCAGAATCCCTTACGAGTTTATATACCAGTAGGAAACCTAATTTGCAAAAAGTTGCACAACCAAGGACTTCCTTAGTGGTCCTACATTGTCATTTCTCAAGTACTGTTTCATTCCATCACGCTGGAATGTACAAATTCTCTAGAAGACAAGACTGATGTTCATGATATTTGCGAGATGTGCAGTTTCCAGAAAATACTGACCTACAAAGATTTGTGGTTTTGTTTTTTTGCAAAAAATTCTTCCTCCTTTTCATAAGAGGAACTGGTTGAATTTGAAATGGGGGTGGGAGGTGACTAGAGGAATTAGTTATAATAATTTTAGTTGACTCTCAGATTATTTAAGGAGTTGATAAGACTGGAAAATTAGAAAAAGTTGTGAGGGTTTGACCTGACAAATATTAGACTACTCACAAGAATTTCTATGCTTTGTTAACTATCCTGCTTCAAAGAATTTTCATTTTATTATCACTTGTGGTGATGTTATCATTGTGGGGGTCTTTTATGTTTTTCTGACCTTATTTTTCTTTCTACTGAGCTTGGAAAAGCAGAAGAAATGTCCTACTTACCATGGTAACAGAAAGAACTCTAACAACACCACTGCCCACCACCACAAATAGCAGTGCAGCATTGTTTGTTTAGGTCATTTATGGAACACTAAGAAACCAATGTGTGAGGAAAAAATGTCAAAATCCAGGTATTTTACAATTTTTCCTCTCTACATTTCAAAAGAACACTAAACTTTGACAATTCCTCAGGTAAGCCAGGCTATGAAGCCTAGCAAGAGGCAGCTGCACAGAGAGATGCTTGTGGTGCTCACTATTGGGAAGAGATCTGCATTCCAAACTCTTTTGATAAGGCCTGATGTTCAAAAACTGCTGCCTAAGGTTGTCATGAAGCAGAATTACTTCCTTTGGGCTTTTAGAGAGGTTTCTACTAGTTCCACAGTAATGAATCTTGGGGGGGAGGAGGAAGTGAATCCCCTGTAAAGACCTTCTGCCTTCCTAAAGTAACCAGGTTTTCACTGTTGAGGTATAAGGCTCTTAAGAAATACTGAGGCATCATACTAGTCCCATAAGATTATCTTTATTTGTGTCCATTTTTATTTAGCACGTTACAACTTCAGCATAGACATGGAGTAGGTCTGTGTACTAACATTTGCACTTAAATGTTGTGAAGACACAAAGAAAAGCACTGATCTGCAGGGCCAGCCCAGTGGATTGCAGGAGTTACTTGCAGGAAAGGATAACTTGCTGCAGAAATTCAGTCATTTCTACTTGCATCAAGGCAAAAAACCAAGATCAAGTTCTGTTAACAACAGATTGTGTTTCTAATTCAAGTAGAAATCTGACAAAAGAGCACTAAATATACATGCCGGTAATATCAAGTTGTAAAGACAAGAAGTTTATTTAAAACCAGTTAAGTGCTGAGAGAGATGCAAGGGACTGTTTTAGCACTTACCTAACACTTATCTAGAACTTTTTATCCCCATAATAACAGTGGAAGAACTGCTGAGTAGTATAAGAAATGAAAAGTAAGTCCCATCTCTACTACAGACCTCATTAGGCTTGTAAAGTCCAAAATTTATCATAGCTTTTAGATAAGTAAATTATGTAGTGCTTTGCACCAAAATCAAATAGACTATTAAGTATCTTAATTTCTTTTTATCTATTTACTTCTTATTTCAAGAGGTGAAACTAAATTCCAATGGCCACTTGATAGCTGATCATGTTTAAAACACAGGAGTAGGATTTAGTGAGGCTTACAGAAAAGTTCAGTGGGTTTACAACAGAGGAAGATAGGACAAGAAATTAAACCAGTTAAATGGTGAGTCACTTCAGACTTTTTACATGTTTACATTTACAACTTTGCTGTAAACTTTATCCTCTTCAGCATATCCCCTCGTAACAAAAAGTTGTCTTGGAATGATTAGCTGTGATATCTTACATTTTTTCCTTCAAATGACAAACAGCATGATGTCCTACAGAACATGAGGTACAGCAGGTCTCATGGTTCCCTATCCAAGTTGGAAGCCCTAAGGTCTGTTTTCCAGCTTAAAGCTTAAAATGCTTTCTCTTAGGACACTTTTACATCCCTCCTTATATAATATATCTCTCAAAGTTAAAACTGACCTGCTGCGTTGCACTGTGTCCTTCACTGTTTTGCAGTTCTGGCTACACCAACTTGTTGCAGAAAGCCAAAAGTCTTCAGAAGTTTATTTTAAGATTGAATCTTTTGAATTCAAGGTCATGGACTGCAAATCACTTTTTCTCGCATTAAAAGCTTAAGCTTCCCTTCTGCATATTCTGTGAGTTAAGAACTGCCATATCAGTACTGTAGGCTTTAAAGAAACACCAGAATGGAGATGAGAACAGGGAGATTTCAGTAACTCAGGCTGTATTTGTTGAAAAAAACCTGCACTGTGAAAGAGTAAATGCAGATGCAAATCTAAAATACATACATATATATATATATATTCTTTTACACTGATTGTAAAAAATCCACTTATTCTCTTAACAACTTTGGTTGCACTCTTACTGACTGGCCAGGAATATGTCAAGTAGCAACAAGAGCATCTGCATTCAGGAAGTTTTAGTGCTCATGAAAAGTTGTTCTTAGTACAGTCAGAAGAGACTGAAGATTTTTGTAAGCGGAAAAAGCTCAGGGGATTGTAGTCCATCCCATTAATAATGTATTACTGAAGACTGACACCTAAGGCAGTTGACATTTTAATGAGAAGTCAGGAAAAATTATTTTTAATGGTATCACTCCTTGGCAAAAAGTGGTTTGTGTTTTTTTGAGTGTGATCTGAAAAGGAGCTCTATTAACAATTTTAGAGGACAACTTTATTTAGCAAGAATAGGCAAGGAGTTGTACTTTAGTCATCTTGTGCTGATCTTTGCAACTTAATGCATCCATTTCTAGCAAATTACTTTACACTAATATAAGCTTGATCACTTCAATGAAGTTATTCTTTCCTATATATAGTATTTATCCATTGAAGAACACACACAACTGTGCCAAATACTGTGTTACAACAAAACATGCAGTGGTGAATAATTTCTATAATCAGGTGCTTAGAACATGTAATTTCATAATTTACAGCTTTACTGGTGGGAAATACATCCATTATGCCACCTCTAACAATAATTCCCTGTATATTTGAGAAGATCCATTCAGATTAGTATTTTCCTTATAAAACAGCTTTGTGCTACCAGATGTACCACAGTCAAAGTGTTAAGAGTCATTTCATAGACAAAGAGACAACTAAAGTGCAGAGCCTGAGGAATATATACTTTTTATTTACGTTACTGCAGAAAGAGATTACTGAAAGACTTCCTCTGCATGAAGATGAAGAAAATATTTTCATTAAGCTTCAGATGCTGCCCACTGCATTGCTTTTAAATAAAAATGCATACTCTCTATCAGACACAGCAAAGTAGTAAGTAAACTTACAACACATTCCTTTAATATATCAAAATGTTTCCAAGGCAATATTATTAAACTTATACCACAGTTCCCAGTAACATCAAGCTTCACAAAGGAGGCGGTGGGGAAACTTTATCCAGTTTAAGTGCTCTTCTTTTCTTCACCAAGTAAGTTCACTGTTGCTTTCTTGGCTACAGGAAAATAAAAGGAATTTTAATCACAGGCCTACAGACAAAGTGGGCTACCCACTGTTCTCAAGCTGCATTAATAAAATAATTTTCCTTTTAGGTCACAAAATATGGGCGCTGAAGGAGACACAACACAAAATAAAATCATAGCTTTTGTATACACATGCACACAGATATAGTGATGAAAATAACCAGAAAAGATTTTAAAAAATAAAACATAAGCAGGGAAGAGCACAATAAACATCATAGACTGCCTTAAAACTATGGTACTGGAAAAAACAGAGCTGCTTGTAGTGTTAAAGAAATACAGCAAGAAATACACTATAATGATAAAACAGGGTTGGAATAAAGTCAGTGTGTCTGTGTACATGCATATGCGTGCACATGATTTCTTGAAGAAAAAAAACTATATGTGGAAATCTTTATATAGAAAAAAAAAGGAAAAAAAAAAGAATAAGTGATGCAATGAGGACAGGAAAATCCCATGTGCAATGTGGAAGAACATTAATTAAGACACATGCCTAACAATGACGACTCAGGAAGAGTCATGCAGTAAAATTTCCAAGTATGGTTGGGAAAGGCAGATCATTTAAACAGACAGGAAAACTGCTTAAGTTCAAAAGATGAAATGAGACTGCATGCATTGTTTGGTAGAAAGGAGACTTAAGGTGCTTTGAAATAGTATATAAATAGAATTCCTTTCCAATGAAATTGAAATAAACCTTTGTTTTATCTACTTAATACTTTCCTTTCCTTCTTATTATTGCTTCTATTATTATTATTATTAATATTAACATTATTAAATGATTATCAGGCATTTTAGAGTACAAGGGTTCACTATAGAATGCAAGGAAATAAAAGAAAAAATTTAACAACCTACAGGCTGTGATAATAATTATTCTAACCAAATAAAACCAAAGCAATTTCTTTAAGAGTGGGCTCAGTATCTTTTGATCTCCAGAGGAAGGAAAAGTACAAAAACATATAGATGGGAAAGCTTCATTTCCCCTTTTGCTGTTTATTGGAGTTAATTGCTTTACTATACAGTTGGCAGCCCTTCTATACTACCAGGCATTTGAGGCAGTATTTTAGAAGATGTAAGAATACACTGAAACAATAACTGCATTTATGAAAGGTATCTTGTGAGCATGTTTGGAGCTGCCTCTAGGGAGAATATTTATAGTGGTATGTATAGTGGGAAGACACACAGACTATAACACTTTTTCCACTCATTCTAGCATAACTGCAATTCTAGCCAGCAAGATCCACTGCAATTCTCATTTCCTGGCACCTTCACCCAAGTTTACTTTCTCCATTATAACTTACGTAGTCCTCTTACATTTTTTTTTCCTCTAAACAATAAGTCTTAACTGTAAATAATAGAGTTCCCCAGGGAAATTACCCCTAGTTGATGTGACTAGTGAATGGTCTGCTCACCCTCTTTAGTGATGGTGTCTGCAGTCTCTGCAGCCTTGTCTTTCAGGTCTTTAACAACACTGTCCAGTCGAGCTTCGTGCTTCAGGAAGAAAGGCCGGATAATCCGATGGTAGAGGAATTCTGCTCCATTGGAAGGACTTGGAGCCATGCACCACAGGAGGAAGCCACACTGCAAGAGCAAGAACAACTGCCTAAGTGGCAGAAATGAGTAAGAGACAAGGTGTCTCCATGACTGCCACAGAATCGAGCACATTCAGAACAGTGCACCATCCCGTCCTTTCTGCATAGTCACAGTTCAGTAAGTGTGCACACCAGTATAGTTACAGACAGGGAATCTTTACACTGGAATAATTTCGTGGATAGTGATAGAATAAAGGAGGAGGGCTGTAGCAGTAAAGCTAATCTGGTATCAGGTGTATGCACCTTTTTTTTTTTTTTTTTCTTTTTTAAAATAGAACTGTAAAACCTGAACATTTCTAAAACATGTGGCACAAACCCGCCAAAAGGTCTGGGTCCCTAAATCACTTAAATTTGACAAAACATATCCCTGTCCCCTCTGCCTCCCTGCTTTGAAAATGCAGTGGGGGAAAGAATAGGACTGTGTGTATCCCAGGAGCAGAGATATATCCAAGCTACACACAGTGCACAGACAAGGTTTAGTGCTTTTGGATTGCACAGTTTAGGTATAGCTTTTATAAACACCATCTGCTCTCTAGAAGAAGACAAACAAAACACCATAGTATGTGGGGTAAAGTTTCTGCATCTTACAAAGGGGATTGGAAAGACAGTTACTACATGTACTACAAATACCTGTCTTTACTACTGAAGCACTTCTATTTGGCTTCAGTTTCACTGCCATACACCACACAAAGACAGGTATGCAAAGCAAGAGCAAACATGTAAGGGACAGGAAGTGCTATAGCTAGATTTTCTTGAGCTATGAAAATATATATAAAATTATTTTACAGGATAAAACTGCAACAAATTAAGTACATTTTCTCAGCATTTGTACAGTTCTTTCAATGCATAAATAGTTCAACATTATTCCATGTCAAAAACCTCTCCAGAAAATAAAGGTATAACAACTTTTCACAGACTATCTTATCCTAAACCACAAAACAAAACCACCCTCTGACTGTGTCAAAATTGCTTTGTTTTCATATCAGGCAGGATTCTGTGTTTGAGGATTTTCACACACTTCTGAGTGGAAAGGAAACAAAACACACAGTCTTCTTCAAGCAAGACTTCCAAATATTCTGGAATATCTCCCCTCTGTTCTTTTACAATAAGGGATATTGAGATTGAATGTTCTGTAGGTTCTGCTCTTCCCAACTGTAAAATTTTGGCTGTGTCTTCTCTGCAGTGCCGAACCAATTTACCGTCCTTTTGGGTGAGCTTTAAGCTTTCTTCTTTAAACTACTGGATCACGGTGTCAGAATTTAATGACTTAAAGGAGTGTTTGCCCAGAAGATAAAGAAAGGTTTTTCAAAGTAAAGTGTCCCACCAGGCACATTTCAATGAATTACAAGAAATAATTCAACATGCACCAGTAAGTAAAAACTAATGAAGTATCACTAAGTATGGTCAGAGAAAATAAAGGCAAAAAGTGATAGCATATCAATTTTCAAAAGCTTCTATTATTTGGAACTTATATAACAAGAAAAATATATAGTACTGTCTTATGTTATCTTTCATTAAAAGCTGAGAAATATACTGATTTTATTTCCTGTATAAAGAATATCTGGTCAATTGCCAATAGTTATTCTACTTCTCCCAATACACAAAAATGTTAGTTCTCCATTGTTATAGAAGAAACCCTCAGATGTGAGTCCAACTTCCTCTGAAACTAAGAGAAATTGAAATTTCCCTTTTCTAGTCTAGGAATAAAATTAGTAACTTGATTTTACAGCTCTGTCCTAGTCTAGTCAAGAAAAAATCAATTACAGACTTGTTCTCAAATATCTATTACTTTTTAAACGTACCTCTGATTTGAAACAGATGCATGTACACAATTTCTAGAGGACACACAACAAAGTTGCAAATCTCAGTCTTTTCAAACCTTGAGAATGTCAGACTGCTAACTTAAATTTATTTTCCCCTTGTGTCTCATGGAACTGAACTAATACAGGCTATTAAAAATAAGGAGGCTTGTAAGAAGGCCCAGAAAGCTCAGAGTGGTACACCTGTTAACTGGAAAAAAACCCCACAAAATATGTTCTTGGGTTTTGATAGTCTTCTGTCTGTAGAATCTTGGAGCTGGACATGGCCATGCTTGCTGTGTTTCTCAGCAGCAGCTCTAGTGTCAAACCCAGCTGTATTCCATTTTGTGCTGCCAGGGTAAAAACAGCTGCCAGGAGTAGATCCAGGTGGGTTAGACTGAGCTCAAGTGATTGCCCAAGGAAGTCACTTTATTGCCTGAATTCCATTCCCTCCTCTGGCTGGTTTGGAGAATTGCAAAGAACGTATTTTGTGGGGTTTTTTTCCAGTTAACAACTGTATTGCTCTGAGCTGAGTGCCTTGTAGCAAAGGTTTGCACAATGCACCCAGCATGATGTGTCTGCTACTAATTTTGTTCAGAAATGTCATTCTAGTATTTTGAGACAAAACTGTTGGTGGATCAAGGAGTCTCTCTCCTTCCCACCACCAAGAATATTCCTAGGATGATAAACTGCTGCTTTTACTGGCTACTGTGCTTTAATACCTGAATGCCACAGAAATGTTTAAACTATTAACAGAAGTATTTAAAAACAAATCACATACACATGAAATCATTAGTTGCATGCATGTCCTCTGCTTCAGAGAAAAATAAACCCAAAACAGATAAATTAGGAGTGGGCATTACAAAAAAAAAAAAAAAAAAAATCCCACAAAATCCAAGAAATCTCCAAATAATATTTAAGTGGAGAACAAAAAGTATATACAAATATCATAATGTATTTAAAGGAGTTCTTCAACATGCCTTTCTCCCACCTATAAAATCCGGTGTGCTGAAAATTTGAAGGTGTAAGGAAGGTGTTTAGAAATACTGAGCAACTAAAACTCAGTCTGGAGTGGAAGCTGCAAGCTGTATCAAATAAATGTGAATATTCAAATTTAGCACGTTTTGAAAATGAAAACAAGCTCGAAATTTTCATGAATGACGTATCTGAGCTTCTACTTCATGAAAGAGACATGGAGACATCATAAGCTGCACTACAAGAGTTCATGGATGGACTGAAATGTGGAAAACCCCTGCTTCCTCCTTTCCTCCATGTGGAGTAACTTCCATCCTTCCACCCAGTCAGCAATGCTTTCTGATTCTCAGCCAACACCTGGCTGCTTTTGTATAACAAAAGCAAACCTCTCCTACTAACCACTACTGAGGGTAAATACTTGACTTTTATTGTGCCTTCTGCAGCTATGGTAATTACACAGAAAGCTTGTGTAATTACATAATTGCCTCCTTGTGTTTGCTTTTGCAGAACTGAGAAAAAGTACCTTTCTCTTAAATCAACAGTACATGTAAATGTGGCACTTGTACAGTTTTATCAGAGCCATCTGTGGTCTTTATTTGCTGGGTCAACCTGAATTTCAATTGCGCACTCTTCAGAAAGAGAGCTGAGGTGGCAGGAAGAAATCATTGCCACACCTCTTACTGCCAAGAAGTTAGAAAAGAAGCTCTGAAAATGCACTCTATGAGTTCAGATTTGTGAGTATACACCACTGAAGACAATAGGTTAAAGTCATAATCCTGCTAAACTCTAAAGGGGAGTTGGGGATGTGAAATAAGCGGGTAAGCGGTTAAGAACAGATTCTTCCAGTGCCATAAGCAATCCTTCTGGATTCTATTCAGATCAGAAGAACCTGTAGTTTGATCACTACTGGGCTTGGTCTTAAAATACTAAACCAGTAAAATTTTCATGTGTTACCCACACTAAACTTCAACATTAGCAGATTCTTCTTAAAAACTTTTCCATTTTAAGCTTAATCATTTTGCAAACGTATTTTCATTTTTTATTAAAGGAAAAAATAAAGGGGGGGAAAGAGAGAATTAACTTCATGAGGCAGACCAGAATACTATTTGAAGCAGTACTATAAATATGTGTTTCTTCTTAGGGAGCTAAGGAAATGAGTTCCAAATGATTGTCACAGTTGAGGTCTGTTAAAGATTCAAACAATGCAGAGGTGTAACCAAGCCGACCAAGTCAATTTTTGCCTACAAAATATGACATTTCCTGGAAAAAGCTTTAGGCATCATCAGGTATTACCATTAAAATTTTAAATGACCCCACTACAGTATCAGCCAAGCAAATCCTTTTCAAGAATTCAATGGGACTAAACCAGGCTAACAAAACAAAAGAGAAGGAAGAGAACAGCCCACTGAACCAGGAGATAGGTAACAGTTCTTTAAGCTAAACAGTGGACTATCCAGCAAGCTAGAATATCTTCTACCCAACAGCATACATAGCAATCAGCTATCTCCTAGAATAATTTAACATGCTAAAGTTGATTGACACTTTAGTTCACAAACAAAGCACATTAACCAAATCATTGTCGGTAGTCAAAGCACACTAACAAATGCACATTAGCAACGAGCTCCTCTGGTACCTACCAATTCCTTTCAGGAAATTGGGCTTAATTAAAAATTAAGTCTGTAGGACTCAAACTATTCTTGTGGTGCAGTTTCCTTCTTTTCTCCCACAGTACAGATGTTAATACCTCCTTTCGCTGCCTTTGTGATTTTACTCTTCACTTCTACTAATGCACTTAAAGCAAAGGTAGAGCCACTCTGTGGGGTTTACCATGTGCTTTCATTTTGTCCAGATTCACCTGAACACCAAGAACTGTCTTTGGGTTTTTTCTTTATGGGACAGTTACACTCTCTTTTTTTTTCTAAAACACAGCAGACCTTTCCCTGCCACCCATCCCAATTTCCTCCTCTTGCCTCACAAAACCATTAGCTGTAAACAGATCGCTTTCATATTACTAAATTACACATAACCAGCATCTAAAAATAAGGTGTGACCCTGGAATGATTCCAAATGAATCTGCTGTCGTCTATCCATCCTTGGAGACATTAAATCAAAGGTCTCATTTTTCAGGAGAGGGGTCACATGAACTAACATACCTTCATCATGTAGTAGAAAGGGAACCAGGACAGAAAGATATCAGAGAAGAATTCAGCTATACTGAAAACGCCATACACAACCCAGTAAGTCAGCCACTGTGTGTCATCATCTTTGTTGGGACTTTCAATGGCCTTGATTCTGCAAGGAAAAAAAACACCAAACAAGTGAGCAGAACAGTAGCATCTATAATGGTGAACTTTTTATGATTTGTTGTTATGTGTGAATCCTCATAATTTAATTACGCTAAGAAAACTAATTAGTATCTATCATACAGACAACGTGCCCATATCTTCAAGCAGACAAGCTTCTCTGTATGTCACACTTCAAAAAGAAAAGATACTCAAGCTGTGTGAGTATGATCACAGCACCTGCCTGGCCTTGCCTGTAACTAACAGGATCACCCTCCTTCTTAGACAGTCGTAAAGGAGTGATTAATAGAGTTGTTGCCTTGAATGAAAAATCCTACAATAGCTTAAATTATCAAAATGGGGTAACCTTGCCTACAGAAGAGGTCTGCACAGTGTGCACCCTTCGCTGCTGCACAACTTGGGGTTCTCAGCATCTACAGTGATACAAGACTGTCATCACCATTCTCTGTTTTTTTACAGTTAGCTCTAATAAATAGCATTTTAAATTTACTTATATGTACATACACTAGATTCCTCTTTGAAAAGGTAAACTTATCCATAAGATTTGCTCTAAGGACTACTTATCTCCATCACCAATTGTTTTGATCCAAAAACTAAGCCTACAGGACTTGCAAACTCTGATGTGGGCTACGGTATCAAGAAGAGAGTGAAGCAACCGCCAGTAAAGTATTGGGCTTCCTGCACAATGATTTAATGGGCTTTTGTTCTCCAGCTGCTAGGAGAATGCAGTTCAAGTTTATACACTTCTGAAAACTGGGAGCTGAAAGATGCACTTATGCTTCTTCAGTAAAAGTAGTTAAGTGGAGACTCTGGACTCACTAAGTTCCAGATTAGCACTGTAAGAAGTTTTAAAAGGAAGTGCTAGCAAATCTAAGCCTGATAATGTGAAGCTTAAGAGTATTAAAAAGCATTTGTCGTCTCCAGTCATGCCATAGGATTAAAATCTGTAGACTCATTTTAATGAATTTAGTTTCAATTCTTCTATCACTTATTCCTTTAATTTCAGATATTTTGTTGCTGAAGCAGCACCTATGGGATATATCAGAGGTGCAAAGTTTTCTGCTAGTTCCCTAAAAAAGGTTGAGAGTCAGGGAGGTTTACAAAACAGAGATCAGAGAGTTGGCTGTAAGTCCATTTCCTGGTTTGTGAATTAAGAAACCTTGTAGATTCCGTCACTGCCTGGTTCTGTACATAACGGGGGAGGGAGGGGGAGCTGGGGGAAATCATTCATGTGACATGCCTTATGTTATGGCAAAAGCACTGGCAGAATCACCACTTGCAGAGGGAACTGGTACAGCTACTGGATTGAGTTACTTTGAAATGCAACAAGAGGATTTGATACTGAACTCATGCATTATTTCTGCTCGGGTTTTTGGGTGGTCATCAGTGCCCTGCAGTGGGAAAAGCAGCAGCCCCTGCCATACCCCATCCTGCACAATAAGGTGATCTTACTGAGGTACAGCACCAGCACAACTGGAAGAACAGGTTTTCCTATTAAGAAACACTCAGTGTTAGGCAACAGGAGTCCAAAGCACTCTGCTCACAGTGCCAACTTCAGCTGCTTCTGCTCCCACTATAAACCACATCTTTTCTATGCCCACCCATCTCTGAAGTATTGTAATAACACTAGGTGAGAGGGCTGTACAAAAAACCCCCACCCTGAAACACCATAAGAATTAAGGAAGAGGGCTATTGATCTGTTTCCAAGGTGTGAAACTGTACTTCTGGAGGGAAAGAAAAAGTACAAGGACTAATAGGGATGTTAATGAGTGGTGGATAAACCGAGCAGAGAAAGGAACTAATTGCAAAGTTTCTCAGTATTAAGGAAAACGTGCTGTAGAGATTCATCATGTGAGTTTCTTTAGTTCTGCTGACAACTTCTCCAATAGAGGCATACAGGATAAGGCTTATTTTCCCACAATAAGCATGCTAGTTTGGTGCTTGGGAGAAAATGTTTTGCAGTTAAACTGCCAACAGTCTTGCTCTTTTCTAGTCACCATCTAAAGCCATACACGGATTTAAGGGAGCATTGTTTAATGCTCAGTAGTCACGAAAATCAGTTTTCATAAAAAGAAAAAGCTCAGAATCTCCAATTTTGTGGCAAAGTGCAGATAGCATATCACTGTGTTAATGGCCCACGCTCTTTATCTTCTCTCCTGTAGAAACAAATGGCCTTTTAGAGTTCCTAAATGCATGCCAAGGGCATGCTCCCTGTGAATGTTGGCCATCTGCTGCTGTAGTTTCCTTAAGGGGATACATGAACAACATGCTTTTATTGTGAGAGAGTCACAAGCAGCAGTACTACAAGTAGGCAAAACCCCATGTGATTTAGCCAGCTGATGCACCTCTAAATCCACACGTGGTTGCTTTCTTGCGCACTGTAGGGAACTGCACATTTCCCCTCCTTGTAAAATGATCTGATCCAGGTAGGCACTAGGTCAAATGCAGACCCCTACCACATCTGCCAGGTAACAGTCACATCAGCTCAAGCTGCACCTGGTAGCTATGGCTCCAGTTCCAATCAGAGAGAGAGGGAGGAAGGAAAAGTAGATACAGCAGAATGTCAGTGAATAAAAGTTTTAGCTGAAGTCAAGGAACGGTAAGTATTTTATAAATATTCTGCTTCTGAATGGAAAATATATCCCTCAGATGAGACTGTCAGTGGAAATCCAGTGTAATATGTCCCTGTTAACTTTTGCCCTTTCATTTATCTCCATCATTTGCTGCTTACACACTATTTCAAAAGTAAGTCACAGAAAATAGTACTTGTCCAAGAGCAAGCACAGATACCTTATGCTGATATATTATGTAGAATATCTGACTATATGATGTAGAATATCTGAACAGATAGGGTGTTTTATCCATTTATAACTACACTCTTTTGAACATGAGAATCACACCATAATTAAACTTAGTTTTTTAAGTTATTCTACAGGTATTATCCTGGTGTAATGTCCTGTACAATTAACCTCAGGAGAGACAGCATATACATTACTTCAAGCCAAGAACATTTTATTCTTCTCCATTTTAAGTCACAAATCAATCAGCCTGATACTCAAAATGCAATCTCCATCAACGAGTGAAAAGATACAAACAAGAGGCATTGACACTACATTCAGCTTTAGGATCACCTTTTTTTAAGTTATTTCTACATTGCAAGAGCAATTAAGTCAATCTCATTAGCACATAACATTAAGACTTCCTAACAAATGAAGGGCCATCCAAAGCCTATATAGCTTCAAATTTAATAAGAAAGTGATACTGTCATTTTTTAAAAGTTTTGTCTAATGCTGATTTGACTAAATTCCATGTTGCTTATGTGCAGTAATAACATATCACTAAGGATTTTATAGTGATTTTATTTATAGTGATTTTATTTATAGTGCTAACTAACTAACTATAGAGGACTTAAAGCCCCAAACAACTGTTTACAGTAGTTCTGCACACTGGAGGTAAGAGCAATCACTAGGAACAGCGCTTCCAGAATACCAGGTGGTAAATATCACAGCTCAGTTATTTTAAATATAAATGCCTGTCCAACAGCGAAATGGGCCTGCCATGGGCCAGCACTGCAACTTGTGCAGACAGATGGAGAGACAAGAAAAGCTTATTTTTCAGCCAGATCTGTTCCCTGATAACCCCTCTAGCTGGTGGTGCCAACCGGGAAGAAGGAGCACGGACTGTCATATCCTAAAGAAGCCCAGGACTTCTAGTCACTATGTAGCTACAGTATCAGAGCATGGGCACGGTTCTGACCTTGTGCATCCCAGAATCAGTCAAACTCAGGGTTAGATCAAGTGTGGTTACTTTATCCTGTTACGTGATAGTAACACAAACTAGTCTAATTTTAGTAAGTTGCCAAGTTCTTTCACTTAAAGCATCTGACTCACTTAAACAAAAAAAAAACCCAACTCTTTTCCAAGAAGACAGTGTTACTCCTGAACTAGCTGTGGAATAACAAATCATTGCTTACAGTTAATTCATACACATAGTACTCACAGGTAAAGTTATGAATTTGAGTGGGGAGTTTTATTGAGCTGAGCCAAGACATGGGAGGCAGAATTAAAGAAATGCCAAACTGTAGCGCTGTAGTCTCATTTGAAGTAATCACTCTTATCCCTGCAATTTACAAGGTGTAACTTTTGTATAAAGTCAGTCAACAAGCTTGAGACAAAAGATCAGCATCCCTTAAACCCAGTGCTCATGTTATAGTTAGGAAAGACTGGACCATTTTCCTTCAGTTTTCTAATCAGAGCTATACTGAATAAGTAGTCAGGCATATTTATCACCCTTTTAGCCAAGCATAACCCTTTTTTTTTTTTTTCCATTTAACTTAAAAAACCCTGAAACTACCTATACTTCTAGAGCTTATACTTACTGGTCTGCCCCACCTCTTTAGAGCAGGTTATAAAATAATTTACTTCTAGCTATCTACCCAGACACCCCCACAGAGTCAACAATCCACTGCACCACAGCCTGGTGCCTCCCTGTCATCCTCATTCCAGACTCCTCTTGGCAGGCTGCCTCCGCAACATCTCACATTGTTTCAGTGACACCAGTACCTGCGTATTTGGATTCACTTTATCATTTTGGCTTCTACATTTTCATCCATCAGCTAAAAGCCTTCTGTCTTCCATCTCTCCTCCTCCTCCTCACTGTCTGCCATAGCAGACCCATGCACTTACAGATATTGAAAAGATCTTCCTGCCAAAGGCACTTAACACAGCTGCTGCAGTTTAAGTCTACCAGTTCCCTTCTCTCAGAATTTTGTGTACCTAGCAGATGGCAGCAAGCAAATTAATGAAGGAGAGCAAGGGGAGACTTCACTGTCCATGCAGGGACAAACATAATTAGAGTACACCAACAAACTATATGACAGTAATAGAAGTTTCTCTCTGTATTTCTTAAAAGGAAATAGACTAAGGCAGCAGAAGGACCACACATGATTTTGCCCACCAGTGGAGTGAGTCCCACAGTCCACATGTTAACTCAGCACAAAACTAGGTTCCTGGGAGAAAAAAAAGAAGCATCAATACTTTTATTTCCCTGTTTTCTGTTCATTCTTGGCCCCCTTTCTCCTGGAACAAGTATCTGCAGAGCCAACCATCGAGCCAGTTCCCCAGCTCTGACTCAAGCCAAAACCAGCTTCCCCAAAACACATTCCCCCACACATGCTGGCTCTATTGCAGGGATTCAGATGTGTCAGTGCCTCAATTCAGAGTGGATCCATCAGTATAACATCTTTAGATTTTTAGCCTAAATTTAGATATGAAAGAAAAATTCAAATCTTCCTACAGCTATCATAATATTAGACTCTCTGCACTTAACCACTTGCTATCTCTAGAAAAGAATGCAAATAATTTGTCCAAACAACAGCTAAGATGGCTATTATTTCAAACAAAGCAGTCTAAAACCTAAAAGACAAAAAGCGAGCATTGTTTGAGGAACTGATTTGGCAGAGTATTTGACAAAAAAGTCAAATTATACTTTCTAGTGTCTGAAGCCCCATGAAAAGATTATCAGTCATGAAAGAAAACAGCACATGTGCAGGGGGATTTGGAAATTTTCTGATTATATTTACATTGGGCATTGTGAATCTGGTTAGATATACCAGTTCTCTCAAATCACATTCATAAAGCAGCAGCAGAGCTTTACTTCTGAACTTTAGCACATCATGAATCATTTGTCATGGAGGAAAAAAGTAACCATTTGCCGCAAAACTTGTCAAGAGAAAGCAAATTTGCTGCCCTGGCTCTCAACAAACACAGGACTGATTACGTTTTCTAAATAACTGCAACCAAAGAAAAGCAATGTTCCTGTTTTAAAGGTATGAAAGAAGCAGAGGAACTAGGAGACAGACTCAAGACACCACAACAATATTCAAATTAAGACTTGGCTTGAGTGTTTACACTTCTATATAACCAATGTAGATTGTTTCCTGCTTATAAAATGCCACGAACAACATTTACGTAGTAAAAACAGCTAAAGTGAAGTAACAGCATAAAATTAGCCAATGCAGAGAGAGGCATGATTGTACTACACTGCTTTTGTCCCTTGAAGACACTAATAATAAGTTCAGACATTTCACTGCCCACAGCTATTTTCAACTTTGCAATTTTAAACCAACCATGACAGCATTTACGAAATTTCCAAACCTTTGCACACATTTCTTAGTCATCAAAGGCTCCCTTCCTGCTCGAACTCTAATTTTTCTGAGGCAGTTAACCACCACTAGCTATGGGTGGAGCTACATTTAAACATGCTAGCTCTGGAAAGTTTAGAGAAGCAGTGAAAACTCTGGCAGTGGTGTTTACCTACTTGCCAACACTCACTTTTTCCATCTACTAGCCAGATCATTGCCTTGAGCAGAAGTATTGCTCGCTAGAAGTATAAAAAGTTGCTTCTATCATTCCTGGTAAACTTCTCAATGCTGGTCTACTTTTCTACTTTTGGGGACCAAAACTTTTCAATTTTGTTCCACAAGAGCCTGCAAAACAAATATTAGATTTCAACTTAAAGGAATTATTCTGTTTCATCATACAGAACCTGCAGAAAATTTTCAGGAATGAGATGAGACACTGTCTGACTTACTGGGAAACAGCCAGAAAACTACGGATTAATTTTGTCTGCGTTAAGAGACTCAGGTGGGCCCTTGCTGTGACATGCCACAGACTCTCATTGTATTGCTAAAGAAGAAACTCCTCTATGGATAAAAACACTTAAGTCATGTACAAAGCAAAGCTGAAGGTGAACAAGGGGGAATGAGGAGGGAAACAGCTGTACCTGCCAGAAGCTGTATCGGGCATTAAGCAGGGAGTTGCCCCCTTCCCTTGCACTGGCTTTGTGCCACAGTGATGTGAAAGTGGGCAGCAGTGCAGCTGCAGCTGTGCCCCTTCACACCATCTGCTGTCTAACCCAGCAGCCACAGCCTCCAGCTTTTCTCCACTGAATTCCTCATCTGCTGCATGGCACACACTGACAATGAATACAGAGAGTGACATAAACCAAAGAAAATAAACTGCAATTACACAAGGCCTGACAGGCAGGGACCTGCACACCCACAAAACTGTCCTGGTTTCATGTATGAAAAGATGGAAACCTGAGCTGAGTTATCCTTCTCAGGGTTTGTTTTGTTTCCAGTATATTTTCTTTCAGGCAGGTGTAGAGATGAACAGTAAAACTACCATGACCAAGATAACCCAGAACTGAATTCCCAGTAAAACAGATTTGGAATATGCTAGTGGGTCAACCACCTGGAAGCCTGTGTGCCATTTTAAACAACAGTGAGGACAGGAGGTGATGTTTCTTGCAGAACACAGACATCTGTCCCACTCCTTTACAAGTATCTTTTCTGCTGAAGAGAAGCTGGACCCAGTACTTTGGCCCTGCCCATGGCAGGTGGGCTGGAACTAGATGATAGTTTCTTCCAACCAAAACCATTCTACGATTCATCATTTCCCAGATAAACAATTCAGTCACTGACAATGGAGAAATGATACACTGACCTCCTCCACAAGAGACTAAAGTAAGTTATCTGGGGGAAAGTAATCTGGTTTTTCTCTTTCAGTACCTTTCTGAGACATTTCAGGCTTGGGTCCATTGTTGAAACACTTGTGTAAACATCAAACTAACACCTTGCACAATACATCCCATTTACAGCTCCTGACCTCTTCCAGAAGCCACGGCTTTTACAGCAAGAGCATTTGAGGGGGTGTGTGCAGCTGATGAAAACAGCTGAAAACTATTTTCTGTCCAGTGCTAGGAAGCAAAATCACCACTGTTAGTTCATATAGTAGGCTCTTCATCTGCCTTTTCAAGGGGGAGAGGCAAAATAGGAGAGAGGAATAAGCAAACCACTGTGGCTAGCGCTCTTTATGCTTTGGGTCTCTATACTTTATAAGCACAGGGGACAGCACCCTGACTGCAGTACATGATCCAGAGCAGCAAAAACAAAAGTAGGCAGAGCAAAATGTGGGAAAACGCCCCGTACCAGCTCTGGATTTGGGAGGGAAGGTTAAGCCCACCTGTGCTGTCAGCAGACTGCTCCATGGGCTGGAACCTGTCTGCAGGCTGCCACTGAAGGACACTGGCACACAGCACATCACATGCATTTTAAATTAGATTTTCACTCAAGATTATAAGTTTCTCATAAAATTTCTCATATAATTTTGTCATAAATATTTCAGCACTAAAAAGGCAGCTGAAGGAAAAGCATTACCTGAGCATGAGCTGGAAAAAACAGAGCTGGCATTGTATCCACGTGCGTGTTATTCAGCATATTTTTTTGTTTAAGTAAAATTTGTAGCCAAAGACAATTATCCCATTATTCAAACAAAAAAAAAAAGTTAAAACCCAAACATCCTACAGTACTAACATCTGGGAGGTAACTTTTCACATTAAGACACATTTAAAACCACATTCCAACATAAAAAAGAGTAGACACTCTACAAAAGGATTTTTAAAAAATTTTCAGACTTGAAAGAAAAAAATTGGAAGAGAAACCCTATTAATTCATATTTAATTTGCTACTGTCTTGCTTCTGCAGTTCTAGGAGCTTGTTTTACCAATTTACTCACCATCACTCCATATTGGAAGATTTAAGATACAATCCCAAAACAGTTTCAAAAGAAATTTAAAAATTTAAATAGGATTTTCCAAAGTAATTACATAATTTGAAAAGTGACCTGAGTCAGATACAAAATATTACATAAACATAATTCCTACACAACTTTGTTGTGAAGGTTTTGAAGCTTTGTTGGCTGATATTTTCACATTCAGATTTTATTGAAAGAAATACTTTCTGATCAATGTTTTTCACTAAAAATTACTTTTTAGAAAACAAAACTTCAGTTGCTCCAGAGTTCTTCGTTTGTGATCTCCTAAATCAGCAAACACTAGAAACTGTTGGTTGGTTTTAAGCATCACAACCATAAGATGTTTCAAGAGTCTAAAAGTAAGTCAATCTCTCATATCACTGAAAAAATAATAGCGAAGGAACCAGGATTTGACATGCTCAGGATCCAGTGGCAGAGAACATATTTTTAAAAGCTGCTGACTGTATTTAAATAGTTACATAAAAGGCAAGCACTGTATTTCAACAATACAGAAGTACAGCTGGGAAGGACTTCCATTTTATGAGTGTATTAGTTTACACACAGAAGGTTTTATTTAGCACATTTCTGCACGAGTTTGGAACATACTCCACTGTGGTCTTAACAGGGAAGATATTTTGGTCTAAGAACAATATAATGCATGTGAAAGGTTAACACGTTTTGTTTTGAAGAATATCTAAGGAGGCCTTCCTTCGAAAAATGAAGCATTTTAAGGTGTTTTACACTCAAGAGGAGTTACAATCTTTTCCTTTCCCCCACCTCCCCATCAGCTAGGTGGGTTTGGAGTAAATAGCACGCCTTAATGCACCTCTAACCCCAGCCTGCTACATTACCCGGTACTTTGTATCTACAGATGCTGGCACTGCACCAGTGCCTTCCAGGACACCCGGGAGTGTCCTCAACTCTAAAACATCGGTGCGAGTTTTAGCGAACAGCGTTGCTACAGCGATTCTCCCTCCTGTTACCAGCAGCCAGGTAAGACCCAGCTTACCGAAGATCTATCTCACTCTGAAGATGAAAATGCTGTGAACCCCAACCCAAAATATAAGGCGCTACGGGATCTGTTTATCAAGCGTGGAAACTACCCATGGGTAATTTACGACGCAGCCCTCGCCAGATGGAAGAAGTGGAAGAACTCTCGTCCTGTACTCAGCACCTTGCACCTGGACATCCCAAGGGAAAGGGGGGAGCGGGAAAAACAATCCTTCGGAGTACGGCCCCGGGGATGCCACCCTGGCAGACTCGGCACCAGCCGCGAGGTATGCGATTTTTGATTTTGCAACACGCGGCAAAGAAGGGCAGGAGTCGCGACACTCACGACACGTAGGCGGGGTAGCCGAAGCCGATGATGTTGCAGAGCAGGGATGCGCCGTATCCCACTACCAGGTACACGGCCACGGCGCCGAGGATGCCTGAGGAGAGAGCAGAGAGCCGTCAGCTCCCGGCGGGGTGGAGCGGGGCGCGGGCAAGGCGCGGGGCTCACCGGTGGCGATGTAGGTGCGGCTGACGCCGGTCTTGGCCTCGATGCGCTCGAGCACGGCGGTCATACAGTTCTTCTCGTGCAGGAAGCGGTCGAACCTCTGCCGCATCGCCGCGGCCATGGCTGTGGAGGTGGTGGTGGCGGCGCTGCTCGCCCGCCCTCCGCCGCAGCCCCGCTGCTCCCTGCGGCCCAGCGCAGGCGCCGCCCCGGCCCCGGCCCCCGCCGCCCGTCCCTGTGGCGCCGCGCCCGGGGGCGGTGGCGAGCGCCGGGGAACCATCTTCCGCCGGCTGCGAGCCCTTTCCGAGCGCAAAATGGAGTCTGGGGGCGCCGCCCCGCCCGGGCAAAGCAGGATTCTGTGTCATTTGGGGGAGCCCCGGGCGCCGACCGTGCTGATGCGCCGGGGGGGGGGGGTGAGGGGAACCGGGCTTGCTGCCCTCCTTGCACCGGCAGGGACCGATTTTTAATGTTAGACGTGGGGCCTGGAACATACATCCCTGCAAGGAATGTCCGCCTTGTTCGAGTGGTCAGGTAGCGAGTGCCCTGTATGAAGGACGGCAAGGAGGAGGGCACGCACGCGGCCAGCTCCAGCCCCCGAAAATTGCTCAATACTTAAAAAAAAAAAAACAAAAAAAGACACATCCCTCCCCCAAAGTCCCAGTACATCACACCATTGATTTCAGATGCGATTATCAAAACTCGGAAACGGATTTTATGCACCGACGTGATGCCACCAACCTTCGCACGGCTACCCCGGAAGGGAGGGTGTGTATGTGTGTGTGCGTGTGAGAGAGAGAGACTGATCTAAGGGCAGCAGCTCCCCGCTGTAACTGTACCCTGGAATTTATGGTGTGTGCGCAATGTTCTTGCCAACTAAATATAATTTACTGGCTGTGATGTAGTACTGAGAACTTCCTCTGCTGGGCTGAGTCTTCCCAGCAACTCCTCTGCATCTGACTCAGCATTACAACTAGTGCTGAGGTTCTCCATGCCTTCTTCAAATCTGTATTAGCTCCTAAGTATGCCAAAAAATACTAATCAGTCTTCTAAAGATACTTTTTTTGTGTGTGTCTTATCTTCACCTAAGGAAAAAATAAATGTAAGCAGAGCATTGTGCTATGGAGCTGTCAGTGTCTTGGGGGAAGGCGTCTTGCAAAGAATTTAAATTTAAATTTAACTGTTGAAATACCTTTTATTCTTTCCAGCAACTGTCTTATTAAAGGCAGAGGTGAGGAGAAGAGGGAGAATAATATCTAATCCATAATCCCATTAACTTTTTTTTTGGTGATAAAAGTTTTCATCTTGTTTAATAGAATCATAAAATACAGTTAAAAGAGATCTCTGGAGGTTACATACTCTAGTCTTCTGCTCAAAGTATGGCTAATGCCAAAGCTAGACCCTGGTGCTCAGGGTTTGGACTGCTGGGGTCTGAAAATATTCACAGATGGAAAGTGGGCAGCCTCCTCAGACAGGCCATCACTGTGCTCAACTGCAAGCAAAGAGATTTTTTTTCCTCATGTATGGAATTGAAATTTCCCTTGATGTCACATGTGACTGTTTCATCTTGTCTTTTGCCCTGATTTTCTGTACTTCTGGGGGTCTAGTTCATGTTAATCTCCAAACAGACAGCTGAAGGTAGCAATCAATGTCCCCACTTAGCTTTCACCTCTGGGAACAAGCACAACAATCCCAGATCCCTGACCCTCCTCCTATGCCACATGTTTCAGGCCTCTTCTTTTCCTTTCTTTGTTTGCTGTATCCGCACGATATGTCTTGGGTTTTACAGAGAACAGGGGAACCTGTTGGGACAGGTGTTACATAACATGAAGGGATCATCATGGCTAAGCTTCGCGAACGAAGATTTGGGAAGGTCTCTACCTACACTTGTTACAAGCGCGCTGGTGGCTAAAAAGGCCAGTACGAGATAGACAAGTCCGATTGCAAAAGGCACAGCAGAAAGACTCCTTAGGTGGCATACCTGCAAGACACGATTCTTTCTGTGTTGTCTTTTCTCCTCAAGAGTGATCCTGCGTGCTTTCTCAAAAGCATCAGCAGCGTTATAGTGTGTCTCCAGACCTCCTGATTGGAGGCCAGAGTAGACCAGTTATGTTGATCAATATGGCCAAGGCTGAGATGTTGTTTCAGGGAATCCTTGTGTCTTCTCTTCGGGGCTCCTCTCTTGCAGCAGCCGGTGACAAGTTCACCATAGAGCATGATCTCAGGAAGGCAGTAGTCCTTCATCCTGGAGACATGTCCTGCCCAGCACAGCTGTGTTCTCAGCAACATGGCCTCAATACCTGTAACTGCTGCTTGTTCAAGAACAGATTATTGGTCACATAATCTGACCAGTGGATGTTTAGGATTGTACGGAGACAGAGTTGATGGAAGCCTTCCCGGAGACGCAGGTGGTGGCGGTAGATGACCCATGATTCGGATCCATATAAGAGAGTAGACAGCACAATGGCTCTGTAAACACTGATCTTTGTACTTTTCTTCAGGTGTTTATTTCACCAAACTCTTTTAAGGAGTTTTCCGAAAGCACTATATGCCTTTGCTTTTGCTGTTGTCTGTCTCTCCATCACATGAAGGGATATGGTGCTTTTAAATTAATAAAGACTACTAACAGTGCCAGACATCCTTAAGAAATGGTCCTTAACAACAAGTGTGAGAAATTAATTCTTGGGTGCAAACAGGGCAAAATTCTATACCTGAGTTTAAAATACAGTAATACGATAAGTGTTAGCAACTTCACTGAGATTTCCTTTTGGTCACATAAAAAGACGGTGCTGTGTAGCAATTCTCCATTCATATAAGAATATTACAATATTCTCATGTGCCTCGGGGTTAAAAGTAAAATAAGGTAAACATCACCAAAGGTTGCAGAAAGCAGTGTGACTCTTATTTTGCTTATGGGTATGCTGGGATTTGGAAAAATTACAGGACCTGCTAAACTGTAAATGAGCAATTCTCAAACTGAAGATTTATGGACCTGAATCATGTTTTGCAGGAGTGCAAGAAGCCCCATGGAAACTTACTCTGATCTTTTGGGTTTTGTTTTCTCTTCTGTGCTTTCACTCTTTACAGCTAATAAAGTCCCTCTAAAAATTCTAGGTCTTTTCCATTATACCTGTAAGACTGAAGGACTAAGGAGGAGACCAAGTAAGACACAAAACTATTATAGAAAAGGGAATTTAATAAAAATGTTAAAAACAACTAAATTCCTGCTGAGACTTAATAATAACTTGCTATTTTCTTTTTTTGTTCTTTTATTCAAAACCAGACTCTTATGGCATTAATAACTCCCCCAGCTGATCTGTGCTAGATAAATGTTTTCAGTGTACTAGGATGTGCTGCATAAATTCTTTTTAGCAGTAAAGTGCATAACTATTTTGTTTATGATGCTTATGTTACAGAGCAAGAGCGAAATAGATTGTTAGAAGAAACAAACTGGAAAGTCAAATAGAAACAAAGGTAGGGTACTGTACTTAAAAAATAACAACACTCTTCCAGCACAATATGGAGAACATGCAATATTAGGTAGTCCTCTTTCTTGTTCCCAGGAAAACCTGAAAATAAGAACAAGGAAGGAACACTGTAACTTGAAAGAGCTAGCCTACAGAGGAAAGCTAAAGGAGGATTGCGTGACCTGCTCAAGGAACTTCTGCAGGAGAGGAGGAAAAGCAGAAAAGTGCAACAGGACTGTCCAGTAGAGGACCAGGAGGATGAGTGCCTTTCCACCTTGCAAGTTTTGAGACGACTGGTGTCCTAGACCTCGGAACCAAAGCACATGCAGTACTAGCCCATTTGTCCAGGCTACTCAGCCTTCAGCTGTAGGTTATCATGAAATACCAGAGCTGGCATCTAAAGTCACAGGCTACCGGAGGAATTGCACCCTTAGACCACATGCAGAATGACAGGCTGCCTGACAACCCACTGAGGGTTGTGCTCTGAAACAAACTAATAGAAAACATTATATTAGTGGGTTATTTCCTTTTCATTGTCCTCCATTCTTCATTTTCCCTTTTGGTACCCTAATTTTTTCTCTACCTTTATTTTCCACTTAACGCAGATTAGTATCTTTGCTTCTCCACTTTGATGTTTTAAGCTATTTAGTCTGATTTTAGGATCAGACTGGATAGAGACTTCTTTATCTGTCTTCAACACTGTATGTCTTTCCACCCTGAGCTGTGGAACAGGTGTATACTTCATAGACTCATAGAATGGTTTAGGTTGGAAGGGACTAAAGATCAATCAGTTTCAACCCCCCTGTCATGGGCAGGGACACCTTCCACCAGACCAGGTTTCTCAAAGACCTATCCAGCCTGACCTTGGACACTTCCAGGGGTGGGGCATCCACAGCTTCTCTGGTCAACCTGTTCCAGTGCCTCACCACCCTCACAGCAAAGAATTTTTTCCTAATGTGTAATCTAAACCTACTCTCCGTTTGAAACCATTCCCCCTTTTCCTGTCATTACATTCCTTTGCAAAAAGTCTTTCTCCATTTTTCCTGTAGCCCCCCCTTTAGGTAGTGGAAGGTGCTATAAGGCCTCCTTGGAGCCTTCTCTTCTCCAGGCTGAACTGCCCCAGCTCGCTCAGTCTGTCTCCATAGGAAAGATGTTTGAACCTCTGATCGTCCTCGTGGTCCTCTGGACTCACTCCAGCAGGTCCCCATCCTTCCTATGCTTGGGGCCCCAGAGCTGGACTTCCTCCAGCCATCTGCTTGGTGATCACACCCAAAGGATATCTATGTTACTTGGATCAGCTGGTTAAGCCTGTTTGAGTTTAGTGTTGCTTTAAGTAAACTTTGTCTTGACTTTTAGCATGTGATGTGCTTTACTGCATACTTGTCATGTATGTACAACAGTGTATACATCACTGCTGTTAAATTAATGATCACCTGCAAAGTCTTAAGGAAGAAATTTTCTGAGTAAAGTAACGCATTGTTAGGAAAAGCCTAATACAGATTTTATTGTACAGTCCCATCATTGTTCTCTACACATAAACTAACCACGTGATCACTGACTTACCTTTTTTCTATGTGTTTCCTATCTCCTCTTCAGGGTTCAGAGAACCTCTCCAGGGTTTAGGTACCATCATCATGGCCAGTCTTTGCGAATGAAGATTTGGGAAAGGTCATTACCCTTCGAGCCTGCGCAGTGGATTTTTTAGGTGAGACGCAGTGTGTGCTGAACTGAGCCCACCCTTTAATCCTAAGGTTCATCTGCCGGGGCCGAGCGAGCTCGGACAGTGGCAGTGAGGCCCTCAGGACGTAGGTTTGTTTAGAGTGACCTTCTCTTAGATGGATGGCCTTACAGGGCTGACGAGCTCCATCTGCCCGGAGGAGTTCCCTGACTGGGAATCGAACCTGGGTCGCAGCGGTGAGAGTCCTGCATCCTAACCACTAGACCACCAGGGGGCCCCTGTTTAGGTACCATAGTTCATCCAAATCTTCTACTGAATACATCTTGTTAGTTATTGTAACGTCTTGTGCATCACCACATATCTGGCCCTTTCTATGGGGCTTCTCATTTAATAAAAACCCTGCAGATTATTTTCAGGTCTTTGTGGTTCTCTCTCCTTAACAGTCAGGGAACTAAGATACACATGGATTTAAGCCTATATTTACATTAACTTTGTGTGGGCGATTTGCTATGACCTAAACCTTCCTTCAAAATATTTTAACTATTTATGTTTCTCAGCATGAGTTATATAGTAATGGTTATATAGTATATCCAGCATCTCTTGGGATATAGGTCTGTGTCAGCTCTTCCACTCATCTCTTTTCCCATGTAACACGCAGAACAAAGCAGGTGAGTAGTGCTTGCGTTGTCTCCTGGTATGCAAATTTGACCCAAAATACCAACTTGCAGCAACTGAGGGCACTGAGCTCCTATTGCTTATGGAAGTTAGTTCTTTTCTGTCCACTTCCCTGCTTAGTTATCCTTTGTTGGAGATTTTAGTGTAGAATCTGTTTATTGAAGGGCTGAGTGGAATGAAAGCCTTTTTCTGATGACTTAGGCAAGGTGAAGTCTGCAGTCTCTTGATTACAGATTCTCCAGGCTCTGCCTTTATTCCAATTAACATAAACTGCAAACAAATGTTTATTGAGTTCTGGATTTTGTTAGTTCTTGGCATCTGAGAGTGTTGTCCTATTCAATGCAATCCTCCACTTTGGTCAGCTTCTCCAAGCAAAACTTTCTCCACCCTCAACTGTTGCTTTTCCTGTCCAATGTCACTCCTCTTCTGAGGTTCCTTTCTGAATATGCACATGAGTGACCCTTTTTTTATTTGCTGCCACCTTCTCTCTTTGTCCAGTGCAAACAGACAACACAAATTATTTTCCAAATATCTTATTGCTGCCTTCTGACTGCCAAGGTTGGCTAATAAGCAGTGATTAAAAACCAGTCTGACCACATTACGGGGTGATTCTGCACATTGCTTGGAGCTGTGAGAGGATATGGGTACTGGGCAGGCTTCTCGATGCTCTACCTGGCCTTCTTACCATCCTAATTGCCCTGGGAGCTTGACAAGAGGGTGTTGCCAACTTCCCTTTCAACATATCAGTGTGTGCAAGTTCCCTGGAGGGACCTAAGTGTAGATTTATTTTCAGGGAAATATTATAACCTGAATGGGTCAGCTTTAACTCAACTTGCTTTGTAGGAGCTAATGGGTGAGAGGAGCGCGTGTTAGTTTAGCAAAGAAATTAGAAAGTGTACAACAAGGTTCTAAGTGACAACAAAAAAATGAAACACCAATGATACACCATTCCAAAACCTACTTAAGAACACATTTTTTCTTATATTCATGTAGTCTTTCAGCAGTGTCTCCAAAATGGAGCAAGCAGAAATGTTCAAATGTGTCTCTTCTCACTCTCCTGTGCTGGGGGCTTGCAGCACTGTCTACAAACTTTCACTATGTTCTTCAGTTAGTACGTTTCTCTTATGTTAAGCAGCTTATTATCCAAGACTTTTTCACAGCTTAGGTAACATTTGATACATTTACTTCTTCATTGTATCAGGTTGGGTATTTTCCAGACACCGGGGATGGGCTAAAAGTACAATAGATAACATGAGATGTCAAAGAGCATTTTCTAAACCACTTTCTTTCCCCCTCTTTATTAGCTCTAGGAGCTCCGGGTACCAAATCCACATGGGATGGCAGGAGCAGGGTGGGAATGTAGCAGGGAAAAACAGTAGTAGGAAGAGTACTCTGATACCTGAAAGAATGCAGATCATGTAACTTTTACAGAAATTCCTACGTCTACCCTTTTTGGTAAAAGCTGAACTCTCTGGATCCCTGAGCAATGGGATTTATCAGTCACTCGAACCCTTCCCTCTGTCCCTCTGTCTAGCCATATTAATAGTTCTGCTAGTGGTAGACTTACTTTCCTCTGCCAAAGTACTTCTTTAAGTCAACACTGATGTGATCCACACATCACCTCAAATATCACAGTAATAAAGGTGGTGGAGCAAAAGTCACTGTCAAATACTATGGAGTGGACTTTGGAGAGGAGAGCACCAATAGATGTAAATGTGCTGATTTTACTAAGATAGGGCTCTGAAGTCTTCTTACAGTATTGCTCCTTCTATACCTGGTTGAATGCCCTTTCCTTGTATTCTGGAGCTATTATGGAGTCTCTTGTCCTTTGTTATAGCTTTGAAAAGGAGGCAAAGGATACATTTCTCACTTTCTGTACCCAACAGTTAATAAATGTGTTGTGAATATACATACTTTTTGTGTCTTCAGTGTAACACTGGGCTGGTATCTTTATGTGCTGGTTTTGGCTGGGGTGGAGTTAATTTTCTTTAGCTACCAAGGGGCCGTGTTTTGGATTTGTTCTGAAAACAGTGTTGATAATACTCCACACTATGGAATGCTCATGCTCCGTATATAAAGCTGTGGTGAGAAGAAGGAAGTAGGAGGATATTTAGAGTGATGGGATTTGTGTTCCCAAATCACTGTTACGCGTGATGGAGCCCTGCTTTCCTCGGGGTGGCTGAACACCTGCCTGGTCACAGGAAGCAGCGAATTAATTCCTTGTTTTGCTTTCCTGTGTGTACAGGTTTTGCTTTCTCTACGGTTTAATACGCAATAGTAATAACTTGGTAGACAATTCAGTCTTTATCTCAACCCACGAGTTTTCTCATTTCCCCGATTCTCTCCCCGAGCCCGCTAAGGAGAACGACCACCAGAGGGAGCTTCGGCGACGAAGGAGCGGGGAAAGGACAGGAGGAGGAACGCACTGAGTACTCGCTTTTAATTGGAATCAGAGGGTGCAGTGGCAGCAGCAGTCGCCGCGCAGAGAGCAGCGATACCCTCTGCCGGCAGGGAGGCTTCTCCAGAATGCCACCCGGAGCCCGTTTTGTTTCATAGAATCAGAGGACTGTGAGGGTTGGAAGGAACCTCTGGGAGTCACTCAGTCCAACTCCCTGCCAAGGCAGGGTCATCTGCAGGAGGTGACACAGGGACGTGTCCAGGTAGGTTTGGAACGCCTCCAGAGAGGGGGACTCCACGCCCTCCCTGGGCAGCCCGTTCCATGCTCTGCCACCCTCAATGTAAAGAAGTTTTCCCTCATGTTGAGGTGGAATTCTTGTGTTTTAGTTTACGGCCATTGCTCCTCATCCTGTCTCTGGGCATCAATGAAGAGAGTCTGCCACCATCCTCTGACATCTCTCTTTGAGATATTTATATGCATTAACGAGATCCCCTCTCATTCTTCCCCTCTCCAGACTAAACAGCCCCATCTCCTGCATTTCTCCTCATCAGAGAGATGCTCCAGACCCCTCATCGTCTTTGTTACCCTCCACTGGACCCTCTCCAGGAGTTCCTAGACCCTCTGGTCCTGAGGAGCCCAGAACTCCAGATGTGCCTCACCAGGGCTGAGTACAAGGGGAGGATCCTCTCCCTCGACCTCAGCCATGTCCTATGTCCCACTATCCCCTATCCTGTTGTTCTCTATCCTGCTATCCCCTATCCCACTATCCCCTATCCCTCTATCCCCTACCCCTCTATTCTCTACCCCTCTATTCCATATCCCGCTATTCCTTATCTCACTATGCTCTGTCACTCTAACTCCTATCCCTTTATTCCCTATCCCTCTATCCCCATCCCTCTATCCCCTATCCCTCTGTTCCTTATCCCTGTATTCCCTGTCCCTCTGTTCCCTATCCCTCTACCCCATCCCTCTACTCCCTATCTGCTATTCGCTATCCCGCTATTCCCTATCCCTCTATTCCCTATCCCTCTATTCCATACCCTTCTATCCCCTCTCCCTCTCTCCCCTACCTCTCTATCCCCCATCTCTCGATCCCTTTATTCCACACCTTTCTATTCGCATCCCGCTGTTCCGCGTCCCCCACTCGCGGCGCAACCGGCGCGCACGCGGCGGCTCCGCCCCCCTGGGGCGCCCATTGGCCACTCGCGATCACCTGATCGCCGCGGTCGGCCCCGAGCGCCTTCGCCCCATTGGCCGCCGCTCCGCCGGTGCCGCGCGGCGATTGGACGGGGCCGCTGTCGTTCCGCCGTCCTCCCCCCCCCCCCGCGCGGCTCCGCCCCCGCCGCGTCCCTGCGTTGCGGGCTCCGCCGCTTCGGGATGAGCCGCGATTCCCCATGGAGACCAAACGGGCCGACATCCCCAGCAGCGTCCTGGACGACCTATGCAGGTGCGGTCGTGCGCGCGGGGGGTGCTCCCGGGGCTTGCGGAGCCGCTGTTGCTGGAGGACGCGGTGGGCGCCTTCCCTCCGGCGGCTCCCCTGGCGGAGCGGGGGGCCCAGGATGTTTGGGATACCTGGGATGCTCGGAGCGCCGCGGGGGTGCGGGGCGAGCCGCTGGAAGGGGCGGCTCAGGCCGTCCCCCGGCGGCCGGGAAGCGGAAGGAAGGGGCTCGACCCGCTCCCCCCTTTGCCCGAGGCTCCGCCTTCACGAAGTGTTCTATCCTGGGAGGGCGGGAAGGCTGCCCGCGGCACCCTCCGGACCCGAGTGGCGCACCGGGAGCCGGGAGTGCGGGGGAAGTGGCAGAACGTTGTCTGCGGCGTTTTCCTGCGGTGCCGGGGCGGACGAGGTGAAGCTGCGCAGGGGAAGAAGAGACCGAAGCGGGGGTTTGGGATGACGTGGTGAGGATGGACTGGGGGACACCCGCCGCTCTGGCGTCGGGATCCGTTTGGAATGGCTGTCAGAGAGTCCCTCCAGCTCGTTTACCTCTGCTGGAATGGGATGTGCCAGCGGAGGAAAAGGGATACCCATCGGTACTTTCAGAGTGGAAGAGTCACCTTTTCTTGTTCTCAGGGCTTTGCGTTTGAATTTTCATAAATCGTGGGTTCTCTTTTCTTAGAAAGGGGGAAGGCACCTTTCCCTCTTGTGGTCTCAAGCTCTGATCATCTGTGGAGCAGCCCTTCAGACTTTTAATTTATCCATCATCCCCAAAAATGTGATGCCCCAGACTAGATCTGATATTTGGCACAAAATCATGAAAGAGACCCTTCCTGAATTATTTATGTACAAGAGGGAAAGGTTACTAGAGACGAAGGATAGTCCACTTACTGTAATTACTAGTTTCAAATGAGTGAAAATGTTTAGGAGCGAGAATACTAGAGGAGGGTAGAACTGCTCTGCTCAGTTGTTTTCCATGAGTCTAATGCAAGAGTCAGAGTTTGCGATATGCAAGTAAATTTTAAATTCTCTAATTCTCTCTTTAAATTCTCTCTGGCATCTGAACCATGTTTGTGTTTTCATCGTGTCTTCTTTTCATTCCTTGCACAGAGATGGAATGTGCCTTTTAGATCCCTGCTCACATATGAAGTGGCGTTTGAGACTTTTCAGAAAATCCAGAAGGGAATTACAATGTTTACAAAACTGATACAGCCTATTAGTGTCACTAGTATAACAGAGTATTTGGATAGGGTCAGTGATAGGGTCAGTCCCACTGTGTTTCTTTGAGCTACTGTCATTTTCTAGCTTTGAAGTGGTGTTTTGTCTTATAATTGTATGAGTGTAGTCAAGTGGTTGGCTCGAAATGGGTTATAAAAATAGCTGTAATTTCCCACATTCTCTGTATGTGATATTAGTGGAAGTTTTGGCAGAAAGAGCCAAGCAATTTTTCTTACTCAATTACTGAGTCTTGTTAAAAAAACACGTCACAAGTACCCCTGTAATTTTTTTGTCATGCTCTCTTACTGCAGCTTGGTTGTTCTTTGCTGAATAAAGAAGTGGAAGTGCAGAGACTTAATTTAGGTTTTGGGGCCTCTTGATGCTTTCTCTTATAAACAAGTGCTGTTGCCCCATCATTTGACTTCAGGGCTGTGGTTGGTTAGCCTTCCTCAGTAGCCAGAGGTACACCCAGCCATTCACTCCCTCTCTTCAATAAGATGAAGGAGAAAATAGGATAGAAAGCTTGTGGCTCAGGATGAGACAGGAATGTTGCTTACCAGTTACCACTGTGGCTGTAGGGTAGACATCTCCTCTGCCATGGAGCACCTCCTCTCCTTCCTTCTTCTCCAACTTCAGTGTTTGCACTGCTGTTTCATGCTCTTTTTCTCCCTTCCTTTGCCTGTCTGGCATTTTTGTCCTTTCCTAAGTACACTTCCACCATCCTGGCTGCTGCCTTCACTGTGCCCTGCAGTGTGTCCCTCACTGCAGCAGCTGGGCACCTGCACCCAATACAACCTGGAGATGCCTGTTGTTAGTCACTCCACATAACTTAAAAGTTAACTTTTTGATTAATAAATAGCATTCTAATTGACTTTGCTGTTGTTCCTCTACCTAATGCCTGGCATGTTCTTATTCCTCTTTGGTACTGCTATATGTTGTATCTTTAGATTTATGTCCAACTGCAGTACTGCAAGTTAAAATAGACTTTTAACATTTTACCTTTTATCTACAGAAGCCTTGTCTGTAAGGGCTTTTTTTCAGCACTCAAAATGGAACCTTCAAAAGAAATGAGCAGTTAGGGGTGGTATTGCCAACTGAAAATTGGGAAGTGGGAAAATACAGTTGTTGAAGTGAATGAGGTTGTTTATGTAAGGAAGAATCATAGACTGGTTTAGGTTGAAAGGGACCTTAAAGATGATCTAGTCCCAACCCACCTGCTGTGGGCAGGGACACCTTCTAGATCAGTTGCTCAGGGCCCATTCCAACCTGGCCTTGAGCACTTCCAGGAATGGGGCATCCCCAACTTCTCTGAACAACCTGTTCCAGTGTCTCACTACCCTAATAGTAAAGAATTTTTTCCTAATATCTGATCTGAACCTGACCTCTTTAAAGCCACTCCCTCTTGTCCTATCACTATATGCCTTTCTAAAAAGCCCCTCTCCATATTTCTTATAGCCCCCCTTTAGGTACTGGTAGGTGCTATAAGGTCTCCCTAGAGCCTTCTCCTCTCCAAACTGAACAACCCCAACTCTCTCAGACTGTCTTTTTAGGAAAGGTTCTCCATCCATCTGCTCATCTTCATGGTTCTCCTCCAGACTCACTCCAGCAGGTCCCCATCCTCCCTGTGTTGGGACCACAGAGCTGGACACAGCACTGCAGGTAGGGTCTCACAAGAGCAGAGTAGAGGGGGAGAATTCTGTCCCTAGGCCTGCTGCCTACTCTGCCTTTGATCCAAAGAATTGTCTGTGAGCACACATGGCCAGCTCAGGTCAAGATTCTCATCCACCAACACCCCCAAATCCTTTTCCCCAGAGCTTCTCTCCATCCAGCCTGTATTTGTGCTTGGGATTGTCCTGCCCAGCTGCAGGACCTTGCACTTGGCCTTGTTGAACTTTGTGAGGTTCACACAGGCCCTTTCAGGCCTGTCACGTTCTTTAAGGATATCTGTTCAAGAACCTTTTATAGTGTGAAAATGGGATAGTAAGAAGGTGCGAAATCCAGGAACAAAGCATACAGGGACACAAACCCATAGAGAGGTGGTGGTGAGAACCAAACTTGGCCACTGACTGATGAGGGGGTATGAGAATGTTCTTTCCAGCAACTTTATCTCACTAGGAGGAAATTAGAATAAGAAAATATACAGACACGCACCTAAGAAAACAGAAGTGGAGACAATGAGAGTGTCAAGTGTGTGCCCGCACAAGTGACCTTCTGCCTCTTTGAGCAGAGTGCAAATTTTGACATCCTATAACAATTTATACCTGTCAGATTTTAAGTAAAGATGTCTTAAATGTTTCCAACTCTAGCAATGATATGCACTTTTGGAATGTAGCTGCTGGCACTCAGGAGTTGAATGTAGATCTATGTTAGATGATTTAAGTTCAATGCGGTGTATGACCTTCAATTTCTAAAAAGAAAGTTGTGCTTTTGAAACAAAAAAATAAACAATTGAAGTTTCTTCTGCTTAAGTAAAATAAGCTATCACACAGTGCTACTTAAACTTAGGTTTCTGGTGTTTTGTGTTTGTGAGTGTCTGGGCTAAAGCATAACGTGACTTGAAAAAGAAACCAATTGTCCATGTTCTGTTTCAGACTGAGGAAATTAATAGGATCATATTGAATTTTAAAATCGAAATAAATTAGTAGTTTACTGTGGTTTTAAGTGAAAATACATAGCCATGTTTAACTTTTGTTCTGAAAAAAATGTGTTGAAATCTCTTATCAGAGTTTGCAGATGTTCTTTACTGGTGCTTTCATTTCTGTAGTAAGGGCATTCATGTAGGTTGTCCTCACCCTCCCTGTTTTCACAACAGTTAATTTACTTAGTTTGTTGAAGTTGCTATTTCTGAAAGAACATCATAATCTGTCTTCCTTCTTGACTTCCAAAGTTGTGTTTTACTTTGTGAAAACCTTTTGCTGTCCCTGCAGAACAACTGGAGGATCTGGTGGTCTGTTTGTGTCTGCTACTGGATCAGGAATTCTACTATTGCAAGGTGTTTTTGTTGTTAGCTTCATTGAAATCAATAGATTTGGCTGATGTTACTCTTCTTTCTTTTCTGGCAGCCGATTTATTTTGCACATTCCAAGTGAAGAGAGAGACAATGCAATCAGAGTGTGTTTTCAGATTGAACTGGCCCATTGGTTTTATTTGGATTTCTACATGCAAAACACACCAGGATTACCTCAGTGTGGGATAAGAGACTTTGCTAAAGCTGATATCCTTTTTATTACTGTGATTGTTTTCTGTCTCAGTGGTAAAGTGCAAACTGAATGTTGTTAACAATATTTCATAGAAGGAAATCATCAGTTCAAGTGTTAGTGATTAAAAATTAGTATTACTAGGTATGTGATCTCACCTGTTCATTGCTTCCGTAATTTTGTGGCACTCAAAAGAGATGTCTCTCAGACTGCTAGAGAAATAATTTCTGATCTTAGAGGGTTTTTCCTCATAGTTGCACTTTGGCATGCTAGGTAGGTTTCAAGGATGAGCTGTTGGAGCTCTTCTGATTGAACTCCTTAGTTTAATTGATTTTTAAGTAAATAGTGACACAAATATTAACATAGCTGAAGGTGGTATGTGCTCCCCCATGGGCAATGGTTTGTATTTTTTGACAGTTTCTTTTCATAGGGGAGAGGATGCATTTTTACTGAATTCATATGATTGTCCCCTGCTTTTTTCATTGCTTGCAGAGGCTGCTGGAATGTACACTAGTTCGAAATTATAGAAAAGTTTGTGGCTTTCATCCAGCGAGGGCTTTAGTTTTAATGTTTTTGCATATGTTTTTCATATGGGTTTTGGAATATTGCTTCTGACTTTCAGGATAATATTATGTATGGTTTCACTACACAATTTACTTATCTGTTTGATAATATAGATTTACTTTGAAACACTGCAGCTTTTATTTTGACAACAAACTGTAAAAATATGATCATATTCTCTTGGCTGATATTATGCAGTTATTTTTTATTAATTTTATGCATGTTTTTAATTATTATTGTATTTTTCAGACCAACAAAATTCTTCAAGTAATTGTAAGCAGTGCAGAAAAAACACAGTGTAAGAGATGTTATATGTTCCTTACATCTGTCCCTCTCTAGTTCACATTTGCCAGAAATATTAATTCTGCTGCAGTATCATATTTCTAAGTACTCTGCTTTTTTATCAGTATTATAATATTTTTATGGTAGTAATCACATATATAATATGTAACATTAATACTTTTATTAAGGACTTGTAGATTTGCTCTCAAAATTTTAGAGTTATGTAAAGGTTGTTCATGTTTTCTCTGCATGAGTTTTGGTGAAGTATATTAGAATTTAGATTTCTGCAACTTGATGCCATTAAAAATATTTTTTTTTTTGCATAGTAAATACTGAAGTACAGATTCTGTACCATAGTTACAAATGATGGTGGGAAAAAATTATCCCCACTTACTTAAAGCACAAGATTTTTGTCTGTCTTGCTCACTTCAAAATGAAGAAAATGTGCTTAAGAATAATATATATTCAGAATAACTCTTGTGTGGATACTATTTTTTTAAATTAGGGAACACTTTAAATTAGGGAAGATTGTCCTTCAAACAAGCAGCCTTGTGTCATCTTTTTTCCTGTCACTTATTTGTTTGTTTGTTTGTTTAAATTGGCTTGCATTGGAGTTGCCAAATTACTTGATGCTTTCTGACCTTGAGTGTTTAATACTGAATTATTCATAACATTTTTTTTTTACTTCCAAGAGAATATATCTTAAAAGCATTTACGGGAGGGAGTGTGTTTATTTTAAGTGTTGAGTCTTTGTGTGATTTGGAACTGGATACTTACATTTATCTTCCTTAGCATCTTGCTGTACTCTTCAATCACTGCCCTTTTTTACTGCCTCAAGGTGAAGACGTACAAAAGGTTTTAGATGAGTGGAAAGAATACAAAATGGGAGTGCCAACCTATGGTGCAATTATTCTTGACGAGACACTTGAAAATGTGAGTATTGAAATAGTTGTGAGGCACTAGAGGGAAGGATGGCATATGCTGGCAGAAGTAATTTTTTGGTTGTTTGTGTTTTTCTTCTGGAGAAATTTAGATTCACTGTCAGTTTTGCAAAGATCTGACAGTTACTTGACACAGTTAACTGTGTACAGAAATATAATATGTGAGACAGTAAACACACTTCTGCTTGCTCTCCTTCTCAGTTTTGGGTCTTTTTTTCATTCTGAGCCCATAAAAAATGTCTCAGTTCTTGCTAAAACACAACAAACCTAATGAGTTCCTTCTCTCAGGCTACAATATCCTTTTGGAGAACCAGGGGGTGGTGGAGACAAAACATTTTAGAGAAATTGGTGAGAACACCTGTGTGCTTGACAGTTGCATTCCCTTGTATTTTGTAGGTTCTTTTGGTTCAGGGCTATTTAGCAAAGTCTGGCTGGGGATTTCCAAAAGGCAAAGTAAATAAAGAAGAGGCTCCTCATGACTGTGCTGCTAGAGAGGTAAGTTATATCTAATTGCTTTAAATTTAAGCTAAAGAAGTGAAATTTTGCTGAGATCAGGATATGTGTGTTAGATGAGAAAACATTTTACTTAGGAATCCTTTATTGCAATCAGGTAAATAAATACTCTATTCCTGCAGTCATCTTCTGCTGTACTTTCTGGTGCTTTTCTGAGTTCCAGAGTGATAATCAAGGTTGAAGTTTTGTGTTTCAAATTGGTTTTCACTAATGTGCTAAATGAAGTTAGTACTATTTTTAAGATTCTCTGCTGAGCTGTGAATTTACTTTTAAGTATTATTTCTGTTGCTGGGGAAATCTTATGTACTTCATGGCTTTTGGAATATAAATTTCAAGGCTTACTGTAACTGTAAAAATGTAGAAGAATTGGAATTTAGCCTGTGTACACTCGACTGTAAAAAGAGGATAAGGAGTTAAGTTGGTTATTGTAGAATTTTATGTAAAAATTGTGAAGAACTTTGCTTTTCTATTTTTCAGTGTTGCAGGAACAAGATTCAATGTATGTGGCAAGTAAAATCTGAAAAATAAAATAATCTGTGGTATTTATTGCTCCTGGAGACCTAGATATGTAGTGAAGCTGTGTATTAAAAATGCCCTGTAAAAGAATATTACTTGTACAAACTCAGTGTTTGTTTGACGTAATACATCTAGAGTTTTTGAGAGAGAACATTAAGGTGAGGGAAAGTATTATGATGCATTTAGTGTTGTTTACAGTTGGACTGAATCAGTATCTAGGAAATTATGGGTTTTTCTTGTTTTAAATATACCCGTCAAAGATGGACTAGGCATAACTGCTTCAGGAAGGAGTGACACAAAGTATGCCTTCCTCTTTACTTCAAATTATGCTAGCAAAAGCATTAAAGTGGGCACAGTTATATTGGAAAAAAATTTTTTGATGGTATTTTTAATTTGAAGAATTGATTTAGATGTCACTGGTGAACAGTACTGTTGCTGTGACCTTCCTTCCATCAAGTTAGATTGTCATTGTGGATAAACTCACATATTCTTCAAGGCTTATATGTGGCCAGGAATAGGGATGTCTGTAATATCTGAAGTAAATCTTTTAACTGCTTTCACTGAAGTCAGCACATATCTAAAACCATAACCTGCACCCGTGTGAGATCTGATTGAAGAGGTCTTCCTTTCGCAATGCCTGCACAGTTCAGTAGTATTTCAAAAATTGATGAGAACTAAATGGATTATTCCCTTGTTAAAAGAAGTTTTTCAATGAATTCATTTATATCATCTGGAAATATCATTTAGGAAAGGTAAATATTGGTGTTAGAAGTGAGAGTAAGTATAGAGGAACAGTCTGTCTTAATTGAAACAGTATGTGGTGGGGTCTTTTGTTTGTTTTTCCCCAAAATTTTGGTGTTCTTCATGTAGTTAGATGGGAAGATGGCTTGCTTTTTATTTTTATGTAGGAGGGGAAGTGCTAATTTGAAGAGTAACTGATCAATTATTTGCTTTGTATTAAATGCTTCATGGTTTTTTCTTATTTGTCTTTACTTTTGTCTGCATTTTCAAAAATGGAACTTAGAAATATTTTGCTGATACCAATATTTAAATTGGTATTTTGCATAACATATTTTGAGTATTGTCTGCTATTCTCATTTTATATGGAGTTACCTGGATGGGGGTTGAGAACAGGTTTTACTGAAGTTCCTGTTCCTATTTTTAATTCTGAACCTAGTTTTTTAAAAATTTAAGGAGAACTTCTGCCTCTGGACTCTTGGCAGTGGGGCTTAGCAGCCCTGGAGTTAATACCCAATTCTATGAGTGTGTGTTCACATGCATATTCCACTGTCTGGGCAGAAATATTTTGCATAGTGGTATTAATCCTGCATGTTTTCTGAGTAGTTGTATGTCCTGTGGAGATTTTGAGGACAAGGAAGTTTCTAAAAATGAGTATTTTCTTAGCAAGCTTAGAGGCATGATCTGATTTAAGCTATCAGGTGTGTTTGAAATTATTCTTTTTATGTTATAAATGCTGTCAAAAGTAAATATTCCTAAGTAAGACTTTGAGCAACATGATCTGAAAAATGTGCCTGCCTGTGGCCAGGGGTTGGCAGAGATGACCTTTTAAGGCCGCTTGAAACACTAACTATTCTGTGAATCTATGATCCTTCACTGCAAGGCCATAAAATACTGAAACAAGATGTTCTTTCAAAATGTCATTGTCTTTCTAGTAATCTGAAGATTACTAGACATGCTTTTTTTTTTTTTGCCTTTTTTTTTTTTTTTTCCCTTTAGAGGAACTGACCATGCAGGATTACGTATTGAGGGTAAAAAGTTCTTAAAGCAGAAGGATTGTGAAAAAGAGGAAGAATCGAGGTGCAAGTAAACCTTGATAGAATTTGAAGATGTCTTTACTTCCAAAATACCAGTTTTTGCTGTGAATAAGATTTCCATGCATCCAACAGCATGGAGGAGTAGCTAAAGAATTCCCCATAAATATTAATTAATTGCTACGTGAAGATATAATAGAGTTGTTTCAATTTTCATTACAAGTCTAGTGTCTTAGAGAAATATGAAGCACATACGATCTTACATATTTTTTCTATTTTTGAGCATACATCTCTGTGCAAAGGCTTGTTTTTTCCAGAAGCTTTCATGGATAAACATGATGGATAACATATGCAAAAAACAGTCATTTCTTCCCTTATGATAATAGGTTGTGAAAGGGTAATTCTGAATATGCACACACTAATTTAATTTGTACGCTTCTCAGGTGTTTGAAGAAACTGGGTTTGACATAAAAGATTATATCTGCAAAGAAGACTATATTGAGCTGCGAATTAATGATCAGTTAGCACGGCTGTACATCATTCCAGGAGTTCCCAAGAACACAAAATTCAACCCCAAAACTAGAAGGGAAATTCGGGTATGTGTTATCTTGTTTGAATCTATAGGAACCTTGTGGAGCTTGATTTTTAAAGCCAAGAGCCTGTAAAATAATTAAACTGCCAAGCACAATGAATACCTTAAATGTTAGATGCCAGTGGCATCTGTGCACTGTACGGTCATGTCAACTTCTTGCAGTATAACTGCAAGGACTGATACTTGACCATTTGTCTGACATCTCCATTCATCATGAGAACAACATCAGAGCATGCTGTCAAACTATAATTTTCTCCTTATTTTCTTATATGTGGTGTATGTGTTAATCATTTCATGTTATTCCTACTTACAGGTGCATATATAACTATATGTTCTTCTCAAGGTGTAATTGTTAGTTGGTGATATGCAAAAGCCTACATTTGAGAAGGAGAAACTAAGAATTGTGTTTTCTCTTTCATGGCTAATACCATCCCTATTTAAGGAAGAGTATATTTTAGGAGGAGGTTGGGAAGGGGACAAAGAATGAGAACTATTTTGGATGGTTTGTGTACCTTTATGCCTTTAAAAGGTATTGGGAAAGGGAAAGGCTCAGATTTGTTGGAAACTTTGGTCCTGATATCTATGATCTTTGAAGTTGGAATATTTTTCTTGTATGGCAATTCAGTTTAAAACAGCTCTCCCTACAATTCCATGCAGATGTTGCCACTGAACAGGGCATCCATCTTTCTAAACATGAAAAGGTACTTGCAGTTGACTGGACAGGACTTAATTTCTTGTGTTAGAGACCTGTTTTTCAAAAACAAAGTAAGATGAAATTTGAGGGTTTTTAAAAAAATACACTGTTCCCCCTTTGTGGAACAGTGACTATCTGTGTGGGAATGATGAAGAGTTCTGTAAAGACAGAGTTTTGAAGCATTGTCTTCACCTGATCTAATACAACTGGGAGTGTTGTTTTTGTATTCCCTGTAGAAACCCATAGAAAACTTGTTTAGTTTGTAACTTATTTTCATAGTGTACATCTTATCTGGACCTGGGGTTTTGGGGTTAGATTCTGCAGTAGGAAGTCCCATGTGGATTCTTCTACAGTGACTGTAGTCAGAATTTCTGATTTCCTTCCCCATTGTGCAAAGTATACACTTTTAATAGTTAAAACTAGTGTATAAACTGTAACATAGATCCTATCCTTTACCCATGTTTTTTTCTTTTATAACAAAACCTGAAACTTACTCCCAAAGTAAATACCCTTTTTTCTGATTATTTTTGAACTAGTATTGGTGGTCTAGGACTGACGGCATTTTGAGTAAAATAGTAAGAAGGTTTTAAATTCTCTTACCCAAAATTTAGTTGCTGATTAATACCTTTCATATTTTAGGTGTGATGTCTTGCAATGAGTACGTGCTGTAACATCTGCTACTCTGTAGTGGCAGTCAGAAGAATGACCCCATTGTTAATTAACCTTTTGTGAAAAACGCTATTGTGGCCCGTTAATTTAAGTCTTCTGTGGTAATTTTTTAATTAAGGGATATAATTGTGGCTGATACATTTGTAACATTCTGTAAGGTTACAATAGTGTGTGTCTTTATTTTATTTCTTCTTTTTCTAGAATATTGAGTGGTTTTCCATCGACAAATTACCATGCCACAGAAATGACATGACCCCAAAGTCCAAGCTGGGTTTGGCACCTAACAAATTTTTTATGGCTATTCCCTTCATCAGGTAAGTTTGAGATGAAGCAAATGGTAGGTCAGGGGGTCTTTCAGACAACTTTAATTCTTTGGATTTGTTTTAGTAAGTAGATCTTGTTGTACTTCTTGCTCACAGACCATTGAGGGAATGGATTTCCCGAAGGAATGGAGATTCCTCAGATAGTGACAATGGTTTTTCATCTGCAGGAAGTACACCCTGTAAGCCCAACTTGGAAAAAGCTAGGTAAGAACCAGGTCAGTTTAACACCTCTATATCCTTTCTATAAAACATTGGTCATACAAAGCTGCTTGTCCTTTCTCATGAGAATTCATGTTCCTATAATAAAATGGGTTAATAAAAAAAATAAAAGCGCGGGCTTATGTCCTGAGTCTGTACATAGGATGAGAACTTAATTGATATTGTGATACACGTGTCAGAACTGAGATAATTACTTGAGTCTTGTTTATGGGAATCAAAAAACCCAGAAGCTAAAACAAGTTTCACTGCTTCAAGTTCAATGGTTTTGGCACTTCCACAGAGGAAAAATAGGACTCTCTAAACTAGGACCGTAAAGTACCGTCAGAAATAGCTAGCTAGACAAAACCTATGGGCATCAGAAGAGAAACAAGTGCTACTGGCTTTAGATTCAGCTCAGTGAAAAGTGATAGAGCAAACTTTAAAACCTCTAGTCCCTAAGAGAAAGCTCCAATAATTTATGTCAGGTCAGCACCAACACCGAGAACAGCAAGACAAATGCTAATGTGGATGGACCTGGCCTGTGGTTTGTGGAGAACACACATTTTCTACCAGCAGGCAAAATAAAGTTGGGTAAGAGGACTGAGCATTATTAGAGTTTCCATACTAGGTTACTTGAGCTTGTCTTCCAGATTGTTCTCAAAAAGCAGAAAATTCTTTCATATTTGTCTTCTGCTGTCAGTAAGTGTGAAGTTGTGTTGTAAATTCTTTGTTCTCCTGTACTAGATCCAAACTTCGCTGTAGTCAGCAGGTGTTTACAGATGGCTTTTCAGGAGAGCAGTGCACCCACAAGCCAAAACAGCCACAGAAGCCATATAATAATGCTGAGGTGTCTGAAGTTTTGAAAATAAAGGTAGGTTGTTTCTTAGGCAAACATATGCATCTGGACTATTTAAAACAGATGTCTTTGTTCATAAGAGTTCCTCTCTAGAATGAAAATAGCGAATTTTATCACTACAGAATGCAAAACCAGAAACATAGGGTGGGGAGATACTCTTGGAAATTCTCAGATTTGTCTCACATTAGAGGTAGTGCGTATCAGGTACTAGTTGTGTTGTTTCAGGTTTAGATAGTAATTACTACTTGCCTTTTCGGTGTCTTCCATGCACTATTTTGAAATATTTTGGGTACCCCTAGTATATATGGGTGCATGGGAACTCACTGAACTGAATTTATTGTGTAATAGTTCTCTAATAGTGCAAGAGAGACTGAGTAACTGCAGCTGACTGTAACTTGAGTGTATGTTTGGTTAATTTCAGTGTGCTTCAGTTTGTCTAAAAAAGAAGCTCTACATGTTTTGAAGTTATTTGGAGGGAAGTTGTAGCTAGTAATTATGAAGTGTCAGTGCAAAGATGTTCAATGGTGCCATTTAAACTCTTCTCTCTACTTATTTTGGACTTAATGGAAGAATCAGAGCTTGAGGAACAATGGCAGAAAGCAATATCAAGACACTTCCAGCCAAAAGAAGCGAACAAATGGAGTCTACAGTCAAGCAGTTAAGCAAAACCATACCTTGGTAAGAAATGTGCAGTAGCTGTCTCATTAACAGGTTCCAGTAATGCCTGACAGACATCCAGGCCAATGTCCTGCTGAAAGAAAATAAAGTGCATATCTCTCAAAAGTATATTTGATCAGAGTATTTGACATGTATTTGTAGATATATGACATTTCTTACCTTGTGTGCATATACATCTGTAGACAGGCATATTAAATTTCAAAGTTTGCATTTGGAAGTAAGTCATTTTAGCTGTTGGAAATTTGTCAGTTTTTTTCAGTACACAATCCTGCGGCTTTCCAGGTTCCTGTCATGTAATAGCCCACTGTAATGTGTAGTAATAACTCAGTGTAGTACATGTCTTATTTAGTCATGTATGATGTATTATTGTAAGCATCATGGGGTTTTGCTATGCAACACTTAGACAGAAAGGGGTAATGCATATGCTTATTATTTCCCTTCTCTCTAGCAAAAATATAGAGATGCATGCTTGGCTTGAACACCAGAATCTCATATAATTTTTTAATTACAGAGTAGAACTGCAGCAGTTTGTAAATTCCAGTATGATATTCCTGGCTTGTTACTTTCTCCTTTCCCTTACAGTAACTAATTGTATTTTTCCCCACAGTTCTGCTGGCTGGGAGAAGGCTCACTGAGCTGTACTTCCTTTTTTTTAATAGAATATACTTTTGTTTCCTTTTTCTTTATGGCTCTTCAGTTCTACTTTGTTGTGTCTTGTGCAGCAGTGAGCCCCAGTTCTCTATGCAGCTCAGTTGGCCTGTCCAGCCTTTAGTTTTTCTTATTTACAGGCTATAAGCTAGATTCTTCCCTTTCTGGGTTGCGATTATTGTTCTTTCTTTGTTATTCACTTAAACGTACAGAAACTGTAAACTCTTATCCTGTAAAATTCTCACCGTAGCAAGAAATGGGTAATTGTATTTGAGACTGAGAGTAGAAGAATGAAAAGTCAAATAATTGACTGCCCAGAAATTTGTATGGATATTAAAAAACTGCCACGGTGATCTGTAGGATCTTCATGGAAAAAAGTGGAACTGTTAATACCCTGCAGTTACTTCGTAGGCTCTTTACTTTTCTAAATACTTTCTATTTCTAGTTCATTTGCATTTTCACGATTGTCAGTCTTTTGAAGTTTAAATATTTTGTGTCCCATTGATAATGTTCTGATACAATTTGAAGGCCAGGGAATTCTTTGTTCGCAGAGAGAGCAAAGGGCCATGATTTTTTTCCTGTATTTGTGTACTTACAGCAGCATACCTGGGGCTAAAACAACTCTTCCCTGGAGAGGGAAGTTCTAAGTTTGTGTCTCTAAAGCATGTTCATTTAGTTGGCAGTAGCAGCGTATTTGCAAATACATTTCCCTTGCCTTTTTGGAGACAAGCCAGTTGAAGAGTGGACTTATGCGTGTGCACAACATCGTGTGCAAGACTCTTTCATCTTAAAACAGTTAGAAAGCACTCAAAATCTTCCCCTGAAGGCCCGCGTTTTAAAAATGGTTTGTTGACTGTTAAAAAGGTTACATGCTTCTGAAAGACTTGCAGACTTGATGCATGCTTGCTAAAGTAGCATGACAGAATTCATGCTGAGTTAAAAGTAAAGTAATTCACACATGAGGAGGTGTGTCAAAGCAAATATAACCAGTTTGCCTTTTAGCTGATGTTTAAACTACACTCCTAAGAATAGAATGCCATCTCTTTGTCAAGTGAGTAATGTATGGTTGTTCTCTTAACCAGAAATGTGAAAAAAAGCTTAATCCAAGAAGACTTCAAGATAACTTTGAAACAGGCAAGTGGTTGTTTTTGTTTGTATTTGATTTGGTTTTGTTTTGTTTTTTAAATGAAAAATACAGTCTTTCATGTTGATTTTGCAATTCTCCTTAATTATAAAGACTATCTGATTACCATGAGTAAAAAGTAACTGAAAGCTGGTTTAGGAAAATAGCATCTGAATCAATGCAGTGCTGGTAATTGAGTGTTGTTTCGAGGCTTTATGTCCTGCTAGTAATAAGCTGCAGGAGAGTGGACACAGGTCTTTACTTACTTCTCAGAAAATAGTGTCATATTTCTTTCCTCCTTATTAAAAAATGACTTGCAAAGACTATTATGTGGGTAAAACTGGCCACTGAAAGTGTTCTCAGATTGCAGTGACTTTTAAGATTTATTCTAACCACTATATAACTTGTAAATATTGTTGTTTAAGTTATCTTCTTCTGTTTATGACAAAAGATGCAGGTTTTGTTATAAATATTAGTTGAATATAAGACTGAGGTATGGCTTTGTATTGTTATTGACACGTTTATTGCTAACTACCTGTTTAAAATTTGTTTTTTCTCTTAAAGCAGAAGCAGCATATGAGATGTGTTGCTCCAGTGAAGACCCACTGCCAGAACATGTAGAGGGACATTCTATGGCATGCAATGGTCATTACAAATTCGTTTTTTCATCAAGAGCTTTCTTGAGTTTCAAGTTCGACCACGATGCCATAATGAAAAGTTTTGACCTCTGACAGTAAACTTAATAGGAATAAATCAGACTTGCCTGTTGCAACTGAGGGGGTTTCTTATCCAGCCTTACTCTTTCTCAGGAGTTTTTTTGTTTTGTTTTGTTCATTTGTTTTTAAATGCAATGCAGGGACTGACTGGTGGTTTGGAAGGGTTTGTTCTCTTTGCGGTATGGGAGTGGCATAGTCAAGTGTTGCACTTTAAATGCAGTATAGCCTTTGTCCACAAAAGTACCTTTCCAATGTTCAGTTCATGTGTTCCTAGCTGTGCATTAGAGGGCATTCATTTAACTTGTGTTTCATTTTTGGTGGTTTTTTTTCATTTTTTATTTTAAGTTCCTGTGTGTTTTGTAGAATGTCATTGACTTTTTTTTTGGAGTATACCAGCTTGCTAAACTTTTACCTGCTTGGATGTAAATTATTGGACTTTAGTTGTTATTTTGTAGTAAATTGCAATATTACGCAGTGGCAATGAAACTAATTCTCAGAGGACTCCACTTGTCCTAGTGATTTTGACACCAAGTTGCACATTTCAAACCTAGCCTCAGCCTGTCATCCTTTCTCTGTACTGATTGCTTGCTCAAAATACCTTCTCTCCTTTACTCTGATGGTTTCTGTTGGCTGGCAATCACTAGTACTTGGAGTCAAATCTGTTAACATGTTGACTTCTTGTACCTACTCTTCCTTGGTCTTCAGGAATCATACACAGAGTAGAAGTTAGCCCTTCAAAGTGTCCAACTCTTATGCACTGTCCCCAGCTGCATGAGAAGAAGTGACAAAGTTCTGTGTTACCCTAGTTGCAGCTGCTTTCAAAAGACGAAAAGCTGAAACTTTGTCTGTGAGAGGTTGCTTGTGTAGAATTTATACTGAATGTAAATAAGCCTCTGTAGATCTTGCTGAGGAGGAAGGCAGGTGCATGGATAATAGAGGCATTGTGTGACACTGAACAGCTTAATCAGGCTTCCAATAACTATTTCAAGGGTGTTCAGTATTGTATTCTGTACTGTTGTCCTCAGATCTCTTGTGTAGTGTATCTGCTCTGTATATATCCAGTAGTATTGAATTGCACTTGCAGTTAGCATTTAAATGATCTAGCCTCAGTCGATTTCAGCTACAGTGCTTTCTTGGGAAAAACATCAAAGATGGGGTGAGAGTGGAGGGGAGGAACAAAAAACCAGTGAGAGTTGAGGTGATGAACTGTTACGTCACCTTCAAGTTAATGGGTTTTGAGCATGTGCTTTGCAATTGATAGAAATGCACTGAAATAATCTGTCACAGCAGCTTGTGATAGCAAGCATGTATGTCCCAGATTTAAAAATGGACTTTTCTCTAGAATAGAGGTGATTAATTGGTAACTTCATAGGTTGAATGAACTACACCCTTGTAGTGTATGCTCATGCACTGAGTTTTTATGCAACTCATGCATCATCCAAAACCAAAATCCTAGTCTTCCTTCAACCACCCTACTTCACCTACCCTACCTGATCTGTTACCTAGTGCTTTTCCTCAGAAATAGCTTTAGAACTTTCTCCTGGTTTATTCACCTGCCCTGGCACCAGGTGATTTGGAACTCTAATGCTGTAATAATTTTGGCCATAGGAGTGCTCAACTTCTGTATCAGTCAACAGGAGAAAGGGATTACAGCATTTCCTCCTTCTAGAGGACAAGAGTTCTGAGGGCCTTGTTTTTCAAGACCAAATTGTGAAATAGCTCAATCTAGCTTTGACTCACATTTGTGTTTTGTTTGTTTTGGTTTGTTTTTTTTAAAAGTATCCAAAGGCCGTTCAAAGCAGTAAATGATACAGAAGAGTAATTGAGAAGGTGGGATAATGCTGGAGGAGGTTACGTTATTCAGCTTCAGGTGAAAACTGATCTTTAGTTACTTCCTTAGTGCTTTTTTAGTTGATTTCCCAGCAAAAGTGCCTTTACTCATGGTGAGGCAGAAGTTTGTATTGGTATCCTGAGGCTGCTACTGCCTGTGGAGATGACAAGACTCTCCTATGGCATAATTAAATATCAGGCTGTGGAAATCTTTTTATAAATAAGTTGACTTTTCAGATAAGTTAGTTATAGTTCATTAGTGCTCTGTGAAATAATGGGGATGTTGATGAAAGAGTGAACTTCGAGCATCTGTCATCTGTTTGGGAAGTTCTGTCCCAGACAAGAGGAAGTCTTCAAAACATTGGAAGCATGTCCTATGAATAGGAGATGCTGGCTGCCCTCTGTTTACTGTGTCATTTTTTAATTATAGGTGAAAGGTTGGTTCACTATAAGAGACACTGGTTGCTTCATTAAGCAACCCAAAGTGGGGCTTATACATGTCATGATTTTAGTAAATCTAGCCTTAATGTGAGTTGCAAATAAATGTGATAAATATGCAATAACTTACTTCTTTGTATAAGGGTACTGTTTCTTGTAGTAGCATTGCTTTCTGCTTTCTCAGTAAGGTTTCTAAAACTATGTAAGTGTGGAGGCATGTGATCTACCCCATGGGTTCCATCATGCCCTGCACTGTGAACATTTTGTTTACTTTCTTTGTGTTATTTCACCATCCTTTTATAATTGTATTTCTAAGTTTAGAAGTACTGTTTACATTATCTTCCGTAAAACAGTGAAGAAATAGCAAGTGAGATTTAGGTTTTCTTTCTGTGAGTTTTTACTTTATGGGAACCAGACACAGAGAAACAAGTAACTGTTTGCATGTCAGACTCAAGAGCTGGTATCAAGATACTTGAAAAACAGATTAGTCAATTTGAGAATGCTTGCATGTAAGGGGTTATTAAAATTATGAATGGTCAGTCAATGTTTTTGCAGCTAAAGAACTTGTGGAATAAACAAACATTTAACAAACAAACCTACAGATGTGTGGTGCTGGGAATCTAGTATTAGTTTGCAGTTTCCTGGTACTACATAAACTCCCTGCTTTAGCATGAGGTTTTTAGCATCTCTCCTTCACAGAATGCTCTGTACTTTGACCTCAGACTGAAGAGTGTCCTGTCCACTTGAGTGACATATGTTCTGTGCTGAAGTGCTACTAACTTCAACTCCTTGATGTACATCCATCATCCAGCTTTTGGAGGGAGCTGTGTCTTACACGGTTTGAAGTCTGGCAGCAGTGGTTATAGGAAGAAGAGGGGAAATAGCTTTATTTGTTGCACAATCAAAGTATTTTTTTTAACACAATGTAAATTCTTTAGACCAAACTTCCATAAATAGTTTCTAATAAAATTTTGGGCCTAGTCTCTGTTCCAGGCTTCTGTGCTCTGCTCCAACCTTCCTGAATTTGGTGATTTGAGAACAATACACTGTGTTTTACCTTGATCTACCTGTGGCTGTTATAGATGTAACAGTTCCTTTTAAAAATAAGGCAGGCTTTTCGTCTGACTATTTCTAACATACTTGGTCTCAGATTGTAATTTCAGATAAGTTATTTTTTCCAACCTTTACTTACTGTAGAAGATTTGCTTTTGCACTCATGTCATTCTGGTGTGAAGAGCAGGAGTCTACATTAAAAATCCAAGCTCTGATATCCTGTGGTGCAAGACAGCACTGCTGCTCCATGGGTGACTGGCTGCCCAGTTGTGGGGTTAGTGGGCTGCTTAATCCTCAGATACCTGGGGTTTTTTTATAAATTCTGAGCAACAGGTTTTTCTTCCAGATGTAAAGTCAGGTGCCTTCATGTTTTAAGTTTGGAGGTTATACTCTTAAATATGTTAGGAAGCTCATAATTATTGAGAATTGGTAGAATAGTCTCTCTTGATGATTTAATTTCTGTAAATAAACCAATTTTAATTCTTGCACTGTAAACGTTAAATAATCTGGTGCTTATACATGACTTCATAATTTCAAATTGTTTTTGTTATTACAATATTTTAACTTTTGAAACAACCAAAATTATTTAAGATACGGTAAATTTCTACAAACTAACTGAAGGTGCTTTTACAGTAAATTAGACTTGGAAATGTCACTATTCTTCCATAATAAGTTTTTGTTCTTATGCATTTATAGGAATAGTGTAGTTCAAGAAAGTAGGCTAAATGCTAGTATTTGCACTGTTCTTAATCCTGTATGTAAGCACCGATAGATGCAGTAGGATTTGTGCTGTGTGTGCATTTCATTTTCTCATGTAGATTATGGACTTAAAAGGAAGACTACATAGGTAGCAATTACAATGACCATATTCAAGATGATAGAAGATTCCAGATTAGAAGTAGTACTATAAAGTTAAATGCTTGGGTTTTAACTTGTGTTTTCATTCAAAATGTTAAGTGAGACTTAACTTTTTATACAGATTCAGCTTTACAGAAGCCCTTATCTTTAAATTGTCTCAGCTCTGAGATGCTTCTTTTCAAGTCCTTCTTCAATTCTTGCAGGAAAAGAAAGAAAGCTTCCTTTTAAGTAATTATTAACATTTCACAGAATACAGAATGTTTAAATTTGAATAGGCCTAAGAATTTTACTGAAAACGGAGTATTTTGTCATTTTTAAGCATTTATACTGTTGATCAGAAAAACTGGCTTCTTGTTTCCAGTATGGCTTACAGTTCAGTACCTTTAAGAAAATGATTACAGCTCATGGAGCATTAATCATTTTTAAAAAAGGCATTTGTAGCTTTTTAAGAATACAGATCCTGCAAACACAGTTCTCTACAACACACTTCCTGCTGTGAGAAAAAAAACTTGGCAGATTATTTTAAGCATGTTTGATCAAAATTACTAAACTATGGAAATTAACCATTTGTATCTTACTGGTTGGGTACATAGTTTTGTTATGCAGAAAAAGTATGCAAAACTGCACGATCAAGAGCTCTCAGCAAATACTTCTCATGCCTATACTTGCAACAGGATCCTTCAGTAAGGATGTCTGCAAGACACTACAATATGTGGAAGTTGTGCTTCATCCCTGAGGAGCAGTTTAGCTGCATTTGCAAGGCACTTTTAAAATTGAAAAGTGAAACAAGACTCTACAGAAGAAGGTGGGGGCTTGTCCATTAATTCTGGCATAATAATGCAGGATCCAGGCTGACTTGGGTATTGCTTCCAAAAAATAACATTTTTCAGGGCAGCATTGCATGCCTGGCAGAAAACAGGGAGCCAGTGTTTTATTATATGGCTCATGCATGAAGGGTTATGTCTTCCTCCTCCTTTGTTTAAAGCTGAAGAACTTGATCTGTTTTCCTCGCTTTTATGTAAGTGGCACATCAGTGCTAATTAAGCAGAAAGTATGTACAGCTAATAAGGTTAAAATCATTACAGATTTTATTAAATTTCCATTATGTTCTTTTGAAGAAAGTTTGCAGTAGTTAACCCTTGAATTGTATTAAGTAAAATCTGTAACTACCTGTAACATCTGCTGTACTGATGATTGTGATTTTGTTATGAATTGATTCAGAAACTGAAGCACACCATTTAAGAGACTATGACTAAGTTGACATTTTCTTCTATATTTTCTCTGTAAAATTAAATCACTTTATAAATAAACTTACTGAAGTATGAATATAAGGACTGCTGGTCATTGTGAAATGTAAAGCCTGTGCTGCTGCTACAGATTATTCTTTCACTGTAGAATGTTTAGGTGTTGTCTTAAGCCAGTCAGCAGCAGTGATTATACATAATGCCAGGAAAACAAGTATTATTTTTTAAGGTAAATAGCAAATGTGGGTGAGGAGCCCATTCAACACAATGGAAAGAAAAAGAAAATAAAAAGGTGTTGGATATACTGGAGAAAGGAAGTATGGGAACTTCAATCAGTGCTTTTAGAGTATTTATGAAAGATTATTTTTTTCTTTTTTGGTCTATATAACTTGTTATTAAAAGAACTGGATGTGTAGAAACAGTTTCACATGTGCCCTTTTGTTTCTATAAAGTGTTCATTGAAGCTGTAGAGGGTTTGGGGGAAGTACTAATATGTCAGATCTCAGCTGAGTTCTCACCAACTTTTCATGGCTCTGTAATGGAAACGTTCTTGACAATGTCACACCATCTCCCTCGGTAACCTACCTTGGAGATGAGGTACCTTTGTGTCTAGGATACTTAGAGGTGGCCCATTCAACAATAAGATGACAAGTTATGGTAAAACAACGCCAAAGGCAAAGAAACAGCATTAGAAATTTATTCAGAATATAAGAACATTTGTAAAATAAGTATTATAAATGCCTCTGTATAAATAAATGCAATTTTTACAATTCTATATCAAATAAACACAAAATAGCTATTTTACAGCTGCTAGGAAACTGAAAAGTAGCAACACATTTAAAGCTAATTCAGTATGGTGAAAAATGTATAAAGTTAAAATGTATGGTGCAGTATTAAAGGAGGAGAAAATCCTAATAAAACCAGTAGAACAATACTGACATGAATGCAAACTTAGTCACATGTGCTTTGCAATAGCTAACAGTACATTCAAGCTGGTGAAGATTTATACATATAATTAGAAAAAAAAAAAGTAATTTTTTTTTTTTCTGAACACACTGTGAAATACGAAGTTTCATGCACTCTGATGACTTAAAAGATCAAAAAGTCATGAGTGGACTTAGGTTTTGTTGGCAAGAACCACCTATATTTCTTGTTTTTCCAATGTATTATTTCTGCAGCAAATGTTAGAAGAGTTAAGTTGCTGTGACTCAGGGCGCATCGCACCCTCTTATATCTCATGTGCTGGTATTTCAGAGCTGCATGAACAGAGTTGTTAAGTTTTTTGGCTTTTATTCTCAGGGTTGGTGCCATTGTAATGGCTACACTGGAACTACAGCTAATTATTAATATTGAAGAGTTTGCACACTAGCACTAAACCTTTTACCACTTCTCTACTGATCTTTTCCAGCATGCCAACAATTCAATCAGTAGCTGCTTGCTTGGGCAAACTAAACTGGTGGTCTGGCAAACTTGCTGCTGCTGAGGCTGTGTAATATCAGTGTTTCTTTTTCATCTACAAACCCTCTGGGAAGAAAATGGCTTACATTTACTGATGATTTATAATTAATTCTAGAGCACTTTCAGAGCACAGCTGGCAGGAAAGATACATAGTAAATGCAGTGAAACGACATCAGCAAGTCTTGAGGCCTGAAAAGCACTGAGGACAATTGCAGTTTTTTATGCCTCTAAACCCAGGTGCCTGTTCAGCCCTGAGAGGACAGGACTGAGAGGGGACCTCATCAATGTCTGTCAGTGTCTGCAGGGATGGGTCAGAGGATGAACCAGGCTCTGCTTGGGGCGCCTAGCAAGAGGACAAGAGGCAACAGGCAGAAACTGATCGTCAGTATGAGGAACAAATTCTTTTCTGAGCAGGTTACTGAGCACTGGAACAGGTTGACCAGAGAGCTTGTGGAGTCTCCCTCAGTGGAGATGTTCCAGAACCATCTGGATGCAATGCTGAGTAACCTGCTCCAGGAAACCCGGCTTGAGCAGGGAGGTTGGACCAGATGACCCCACCAGTGGTCCCTTCCAACCATTCTGTGTTGCTGTGGTTTTATGCTTTCTTAATTTGTACCTATAATTTAAAGACAGATTTAAATTCAAGTGGTACTAAGAAATTTTTTTAGGGAATAAATTCTTTACTGTGAAGGTGGTGAGGCACTGGAACAGGCTGCCCAGAGAAGCTGCGGATGCTCCATCCATGGAAGTGTTCAAGGCCAGGTTGAATGGGGCTTGAAGCCACCTGGTGTAGAAGGACATGTCCCTGCCCACAGCAGGGGTGTTGGAACAAGATGATCTTTTAAGGTCCCTTCCAAATCATTGTGTGATTCTGTTATTCTAAATAGGAAAAAAAAAAAAAAAAAAAAAGAGCCTAAGAGGCAATCCAGTGCAGTAGTTGTTTATAGTCCTCTTCATTGAAAGGTATTTCTCATGGACATTTTGAGATTACCTCAAATCAGATGGGTGTTTCAGATGCCAGAAGACAAAAGTGTAACTGTATTTTTACCACAGTACATAGTGGATATTTTACTTTGTGTTTCTTGTGAAACAAGTGTGCTCAGCTACAACTGAAGCTTATGGCAAACCCCCATGTTCCTGTTGGTGAGAAACTTAGCCAAAAAAGGGAAATGCCACAGAAAGCTGACAAGCAACACCATAAAGGCAGCAGAAATCAATGTGTTTCCCCCCTCAACAGACTGGTTTGCAAAAATTTCAATTCACGTTGTAAATTAAGTGCAATTAGCTTGAGAAAGAGGACTGATCAAAACCAATTCCAGGATGTTACTAACTAAAAATTTTGAAATCAGCGTTGTTTTAACTTGCTGTTGCAATCAGTCATGCTGGCTTTGTAGATGAAGTATCAGGCTCTAGGGAAGTAGGAATGACTACTCTAAGGAAAGAAGACAACAGCAGCTACAGTAGAAAGAGATGAACACCAACTGCTACAGTTTCAGATGCAACCAAGGTGTAACAATAATGCCATACTCTGAACACAAATTCCCATATTTTGGCTGCCTGGCCTAACCCAACAGTAGACAAAAACAGTTAAAGTCGTCTAAAAATATTTCCTTAGTACTAGAAATGGGAGGAATAAGTGAGAGAAGTTATCATAATTCTAAATACACTGGTAAAACTGGAGGTGCAACTCACTCAACATGTGAAGCAAAAAGGATGAATGACTCCTGAAATCAGATTCCCTAGGAAATAAGCCTGAAAAAAAGCAAAGCAGAGGTGTAACATAGTAGCAGGCTAGCACAGTGAATTGACTCTAGTTTGCCATGTTAAAACACACATGGAAGCTCTTTTACGTACTCTGTCAAAAAGAAGAAGAATCTGAACGTAACAGGTGCTATGGCAGACTCCTGTATTTTGACCCCAACAGAAATCAACCTTATCCCCATGATTTGCTTAATGTTCATTAATATAATAGGGCAACATTTGCCATTCAGTCAGTTTGATAATACAGCAATATGATGTGACTTAAACGAAAGAAGGAAATGTTAGCAGTAACAAAAACTAACCTAAGAAGCTATAAGAAGACTTTACCATTCACATTCTGTTTGTGACAGGATATCCATACATCTACACATTTATAGTTTTGTGCCTACGTATTCAATATTAAACAGGTACATTCCTAATAAGTACCTTTTTGGGTCAAAAAAAAGTATTAAAAAAAGACATTCTACCTCTTGATCACAGTAAGCTGTAATAAGTACTATACATGTGACAAAAATGGCCCAGCTTCTTAGAGAAAACCTTGGCTATAATGTGTTAGCAAGAAAAACCAACTCTTCTACAAAGTAGTTGCAAACACCATGTAATATAAATACCAGAAGGTCTCCTATCATTTCTTACCCACCCTTGGCTCAGACCATCTACGTGGTGTGGTGAAACTCACAGCCTTTAGCCCTCTTACAAACTGTAAGAAATACACCATCATCATGGTTCTCAGAGATGCAACTCTGAGAGTTTCTTGGGTTTTTTTCCAAATCAACAGGAATTTTCCCACCTGATCTGCACTGTGAGCAGCAGTATTGCAAATAGGGTGCAAAAAAGCAAGGCAGTCTGTCATCTCCCCTCTCTGCAGCTACCCATTTGGTTGGTTTAACCACAAGAGCAAGTCTTTCTTGAGGGTACAATATGGACTTGTGTGCAGAGGGAGCTCAGGGATTGGGAAAATTCTCAAATGATCTCCAAATGACTGAAATGAAAACCTCTTAAAATTAATTATTTTGCTATGTGACACTGTCACCCATGGGACGTATATAAAATGGAAGAGAAGCTGTATGAATATAGACATAATGACACGGACAATGTACATAATTATAGCATGATAATTCAGGCACTGCCATTTTACATTATGAAACAGTTATTAAGGTTAACATTTTTATTATCCCCATGACACCTCTCTGGGATCCCAGAGAAGGTGATTTAAGTGTGTCAGCATTGACAGTCAGAGCTTTTAGCGTTTGAAGCTCCCTAAAAGTCAGCCTCCAAAAGAAAGAAAGTTGTAATGGCACTAAGCATCCTTTAAAGAGATGCAATTAAAGTGAAGTTTCATTGGTGTGTGGTCTGGAGTTCTCTTCTTCCAGTAAAGCTATTCTTTGTTTGAGCATCCTCACTTGTGTTTCATGTCTCTCCACCATGGCCATCATTTGTGATTCCAGTTTCTTCAGCTTATTTTGATGCTTTTTCTTTGCTTTTTCATAAGCTGCTACCAAGTTGCTGTTAAAAACACAAGGCAATACAAGGTAATTCAAAAAGTCTTGTTCGTAGCAAGTGTTACAAAAAATCCACCCCAAAGCCCTACCTTCAGAAAACTCCAAAGTGTACTGATAATCTTCCTGAAATTAACCAGTGCTTTAAAATGGATTAGATCCAAACCTTATTGATCCAAATCCAAATCAATACTAATGTCTGTGTCTTTTCTGGGGAAGTCCACACCTCTACCAGGAAACTGGTAAAGAAAATATGTTTAAACATGGTTCAAAGAGCAAGATAGAGGTTCCTGATGATGACCTTGCAGAGCACTGTTTGTGAGTCAGGATACCACAACATTAAACATGTAATGATTTATAAGAACACTGCATGGCCAGAATCTTTTTAGAAAATCCAGGACTGATTTTGCATTTTCCATTTTAAAAAATCACATTTACATTCAGAGGATGGTATCTTGTGCTAATTTACCAGCTGCTGGGTAGGTTCTGTGCCTCCACCTTGACTGAGTAGGAAAGCTTGAGGTGGATGTTGCTTTTCACCACAAAGGCTTTCAGGTATAATTTAAGAAAAACTACACTGTGAGTGATAGTTCCTTGCAGGAAGGCAGCTGGAGTTCACTGTATTCCTAGTTCATCCAAACACAGGGCCAGTAAAATGCCCTGAGTAAGCAATACAGTTTAACTGTGATTATCCAAGAGAGTTTATTAATGAAGAGGCTGGAGCCAAAGGAAAAAGGGAAGTTTAAAACAAAGTAACAGATTTATAAATCTGAGTTTTGTTTGTTTCTTTAAGTGCATTTACTAGTAACTCAGTTAAGATTAACCTATTTCCCTCCCTCTGTTCTTAACTGTGTAGTTGTCAGTGGCCTACATGGGAGGTTTAATACCCACATCTCTAACTAGAGCCTTAAAGACTCAATGTGTGTGAATTCAAGGATCCATAAACTTCTCATTAAGGTAAGGGGAATATTACAGTGCATTGCCAGAACACAGAAAAAAAAATCAACGGCAGGTCCATCTGCTGGTAGATCCTTTACCTGTTTGCCCTTTTAAGGTCATTAACAAATTCTGCTGACTGCTGATGTCTGATCTCACTGCTCTTCGTGAGCCTCTCCAAAGCACTCACTAACTCCTGCACTCTAGCCTTCAGTTTCTTCTCCCTGGACCAGGAAAAGAGGAGGTAGAAAACTATGTTCAAAACAGAAATAACAATTCAGCAAAAGTGCATGAACAGTTGTCCTGTGCTGGGTTGACAGGCTGAAAATATTCCCCTTATTACTACTTGGATAATACAGGAGGTAGTTCTTACATTAAAATTCTCCAAAGATTGATATTTATAACATTTACCATTGTAAACTATATGATCAGAGATACAGCAGACAAAAAAGTAAACAAACTTCTCTTGTAGATTGTAGTCTTGTATGCATTAAATCACACTAAGAAATAAGCACAAAGATACATAAATAAAAGTTTAAGAATACCTAGAACATGCCTACTGTGTCCTGAATGAGATAGCACAGAAAACCACCAAAGGTACTTAAACATTGTGACAAATTTTAATTAAAAATACCATTCCAGCATTGCTATTAAAAATATTTTACTAAACAAATTTCTCTTTACACAGAGAACCACAGAATGGTTTGGGTTGGAAGGGACCTCTAAAAGTCATCTAGCCTGACATCTAGCAGGGACATTGTCAAGTAGATTAGGTTGATCAGGTTGCTTAGAGCCTCATCTGACCTGTCCTTGAATGTTTCCAGGGATGGGGCACCTACCGGCTCTCTGGGCAACCTGTGCCAGTGTTTCACCAGCCTCTGAGCAATTCTACTGATTTTAGTTACTACCTCAAATTTACTCAAGTAATTTATACTTGAGTATAAATTTAAGTCTGTATTACAGTAACTGACTAGCTTTTTATGGAGCCAGCAAGTCAAGTCCATGTGGCAGTGAGAAAAAGTTAAGAACAGGAGATGGGAGCACAGACAGAAAAGGGCAAATACAAGAAATACAGAAGAAAGAGCATTTTTTTCTATGAAGGACTCTTTCAAACAAGCCAGAGTAGTGAGGCTTAAAATGCTGATATAGTGACTAACACTTACTTGCTAACTATGAACCAAAAGTTAATTACATGAAGTGTGCCAAAATCGAAGCAAGGTACCTTATAGTATTTTTACATTACAAGTATCTCTATGAGGAAAAGAAAAAGTGAACGAGACAGAAATTCTGAGCAGAAGCAAGCATTACAGCTTGGGGATTAAGCTGGCTTTAAAAAGTATTTCCTAGCACAGGTAAGCATGTGGCATGAGGCAGGTGCTTCTCCCTGGGGAGCTCCCTGCTCAGAGCTGAAGGCTGCCCAGCCCACTCCTACACTGACAGGGGACTGTTACTGTGCTAGTGTGGAGACCCAGGAGCTTTTCCCGTGACCCATCCTCACAGCAGATAGCCCAGAGAAGAAAACCATCAGATTTGGGAGAAAAAAAGAAAAAAAAGCTTTTAAGACTGACATGGAGCTGGGCTCAACTGGGACACAGATTTTGCAGTATCAAATCTTACACTTGGGAACTTTATGTGTTTGCATGTAGACATTTGTCTGTGCTTTGCTGCCCAGAACCACTTTGCAGTGACTGGCCTCTCCCTCTTGTTTTTGCTGCAGTGCTAAGTGAATATGCTGTGTTTCATCTCAATAACAAGACGACTGCTGTCTCCCACACAAGCCCACCGGGAACGAACACCCTAAAAGCTTCCGCAGCTCTGAACAGACCACACGGATGGTCCTTGAATCGCAGCTCAGCAGGCTGCAGTTCCGAGAGTGGCCGGACTAGGGCAGCCTTTTATCGCCAGAGACAAGGAGACCGCCTGGCTTCAGCAGCTACAGAAGGGCTTTCACAAAGTCAGACGGGGAAATATTCCAAGTCAGCAGTTTATCCCAAGAGACTCAGACGCTGGTTTACCGGTAAAATTGAAAAGGACATAAGAGGGGCCTTGTTGATGAAAAATCATCAGTATTCTTTGTGCGTCCTTTCATTGAAGGAATATGCTCTGTGTTTTCAAATAATACAATCTTTTTCCCTACCACTTAAAAGCTCACTGCCATCCACCCCAAATATAAATTTCATTTTTTATATCCTATCTTAGCAGCCAGAAAGACTCAGCACAGTCTACGGTCAAAGTCTGTGTTCTGCAAAGAAAGAGGAAAAAAAAATCCATTTTTACTTGCAACAGAATATAAACAAGAAAACATCAGACTTGGCAGAGGCCAGACCTAATGTGTTTGTGGCATGGCACTACTGATACGAAGAACAGAGTAGGGTAAATTTGGTTCTTGCCTGCTCCAGAGGTCACCACAGCCAGAGGCTCTGGGAAGGCTCAGTAACACCATGCTCAGCACAGAGACCTGGCATGAACAGCAAGTCCAACAAAATAAACATGCATTTGGGTGGGCAGAGAAATCTAAAATCTAAAAATCACAGGAGGCTGATTTAACATTATGTGCACGAAAAGGTATGGCTGTGAAAACACTGCACACTTTGGAAAAAACCCTGCAGAACCACAGTTCACTGCAGCTTAAGTCCTTAATACACCTGTTGTAACAAAAGCTGCGTGGAAAAGAAACACAGTGGAAAGACTTTGAGGAGCCTGTCATGCATGGTAAAGTTTGCTTGCTATGGTGACTGTTACCTGACAAAACAACTATATCACCTTTTGTCTGTTTTGCACTCACACCTTTCAGCCAGTCCTGTTCAGTCCAAACCCAGCTAAACATCAAGCTGTATTTCTTTACTTTTGGTCTGTAACATCCTTAATCTTGCTGCTTGTCAAAGACACAGAGCCAGCACCCTGGACCTCCACAAGCTACCTAACTTTCAGATGCTAGATCTGAACCATCTAGCTAAATAGGTAACAGTTGTTAATACTTCAAATCTATAGATGACCCAAACTTACATTTACACTAAAACTTTGGCTTTGAAGTCAGTTAAAACAGCACTAGTTAGTAGCGACTCAAACTTAATCTCATGGAAAACAACTAGTATTTTGATTGCACATGCTGAAATATCCCAAAAATCTTCAAAACCCCCAACCCATAGGGATCTACATTTACACCTTCTGTTCCTGATTTTAAAAATGCCTATCTAAATATCTTTACTTCAAGAGACATTTCATAGAACAAATAACACCTGAGGAGACAGACACAGCAGCAACAGTAAAGACATAGTAAATATCTTGTTTTAGTCTTGGAAATGGAGATGCACACACACCTGGTTAATGACTATTACATGCAAAAAGTATGTAAGGTTTTCCCCATAGTGCTGCACCTTCTCTTTTAGTAGCAGATAACAGACCTCAGAGCTGTACCATACCGGCTGACCAGCAAATTCTCTGCCCCTTCCTAAAAATTCCATGCCTCACAATGCTAACTCCTCCCACTTCCCTCCATTTCTATCACTAACTACCTCAGTCTGGTCAGGAAGAATTGTCCTTATTTCTCTTCAAAACTGATTGCTTGGTTAGGTAGTGAACTGGAGTGATAATGAGTCCTGAGCTGCTATTTGTATTCCTTTAATACAGTACAGGGTTAGCTGTCTTTACGGAATTTCTAGCACCACTTCACTGTCCTCATTGCTCTTTTAAATCAGCAGGATATGAAAAATTAGCCACTACAGGCTTATTATGGCAGAATATTTTAAAACAATAGTCATAGTCATATGCAGTACTTTTCCACAATGAGATGTCAAAGCTGCAAAGCAGAGAAGGAACTGCATTTGAAGTGACAACCATATGAGCATTCTACAACAGGGATCATCATATGGCTGTGGCACAGATTTCTGCTGCCAGTCTTCCAGAGTCCAGAATCCAAAATCACATAGAAGCTTACACCCCAAATTTGCACTGCAGTTGTGCCCCAGGGCTGTAGTATGGACCTCTGTGGATCCCAAGAAAGCATTTATATGTGTATTTTGATGGGAAGAGGGAATGACAAGCAAGTATTTTTTTCTGAGAAAACAATTTCTGTGAGCCCCAAACTCTCAAGTCTATCAGACTGCAGAGGTCAGCACAGCTTTTGCTCCCAACAGCTCCTCCTCCGAGTGGCTACTGCAGCTGGAGCTGCAGAAAATACAGCCATGACATCTTGTGTGCACAGAGGAAATACACAAGTATTCCCAGAAGAGGGAACAAGCCTATGATCTGAGGGCATGGCTCACTTCCAAGCACAAGGGCTCTCTGCTGTGGGGCACTTGAGAAGTCAGCTAGGGAAATCCCTGACTGCTCCTTTTCCAGGGAAAAGCTCAGAATAAGTGTATTCAGAGGCTTACAGCCTATGCCAACATCCGCTAAAACAGTATTTTCAATGAAACACCTAATATGCTGGTAATAAAGACTTTTGTTTTGTATTTTCACAATCAAAACACTCAGTAGGCAGTTGCTAAGTGGTTTTCAAGGGCTTTTTGTTTCAGACTTACAGGATGGCTGAATAGGAAGGGGATAACTGGTGTTCACTGGTTTCAAGGCTACCAACGCAAAGGGTGGGGAATTCTGCCAGAGCCATAAAGGAAACTATGTAACATCGGGCACATTTCTGCAGTTTCTGTCAATTTGGCCTCCACTCAGTGACACCATGTTTGGCACACTGTGTTTGGCACATAGTAATGTAAGCAAGGTCATGAATACCTTATATTTTCCCTTCTGTCTGGGCATTTCCAGACATGTTCAGGTTTCACATGCTAGAAGTCTTCCCAGATTTTCCTGCCCTTACTTATTTTATTGAAAATTCCCCAGTGCTGCAAACAGGAAGCTGCTCTTCTGGCATGCAAAAAGTTGATTTTTCTGCCCCTGGCTTGGAGTGTACCCAGCTAACTCCCCTTCTTGTGAAAGCACCAGCTACCACCCCCCTGCTCTGGTGTCAGGAGCACCAGAGCTCCTGCCAAATCTGAAGCAAAAGAGGAACAATGAGCTCTCTCCAAATCAAGAGGTGAGAAAGTTTCCCACAGCCAGGCAGAGAAGTCCTGCCATCCCTGGGGCCATCATTTTACTGATCAGGGTGCACTGCCTGCCACAAGCAGATCTCTTCAAATCCTGGCTCAGCAATCGGAGGGGCACCATTGGCTCAGCACCTGCCCCTGAGCTCTGCAGACACAAATCCCTGAGGCAGCAGCACCAGCAG